TGCAGTCTCTTGGAAGTTTGACACCCCTGATGTATAGGATTGCTGTTAAAATATATATGCAGATTAAGGGTATAAAGCAAGTGCGACAAGCCATTATATAACTTTAGGAAGTATCAGACATCTTCAGAGCAGTATGAGGAGGTTTTTGTTCAGCTCAGTCTTCCAAGCTTGTCCCTCCTCAACAAGGTTCAATATTTTCAGGGTAAGGAATCTAAGGAGGTGAGGCAGATCCCAAAATGACTGAGCTTTCTCATGAGCCTTTTAGCTCAGTGGAAGAGCAACAACTTCACATGTAGAAAGAACTCCCTTCTATTATATATCATCCAGGCACATTCTCTATTGCTTTTTGGGTGCCTGTGCTGAAAACATTTCTCTTTTAACAAGCCTTGTAAATGGCAATCTTTATTCCAGTTAGTTTCTGGATTGAATATGAATTGATTTTATGTCTGTGCTGTTGTTGTTTTAGTGTGTGTGTGTGTGTATGTGGTTTTTAAAAATGGTTTTATATATGCAATTGTTTTAACTGTAACTGTTTTGTATATTATATTGTGAAATGCTTTGACATGCCTCATGGGAAGCAATTCATAAATGGAATTATTATCATTATCATTACTATTGCTATTATTATTAGGAAGAAGAAGAAGAAGCTGAAGTAGCATCTGCAATTCCCAGCTTTTCTGGGTAGGGCTGAAAAATACTCCTCTCTGAACACTTGGGAGAACTGCTGTCAATTATGGCAGACAATATTGATTTAGATGGGCAAATGGTCTTCCTTAGTTCCTATCACATAAATATCACTCACAGGTTGCTTGAAAAACTGGCTGTTGTTTGCATGAGCCCATACAGGCAAAAGGAGAAGAAGTAGAATAATTTATCAATTATCACAGGCTGGCTGAACAGCAAAGTGCAAGAGAGCAGAGCAGAAAAGTGCTCTCTAGAATACCTTGTCTTGCAAACATCCTAAGGCATTATATTTTGTGAAAAGGGTTTTACATCGGCTCAGCTAAAAGCAATATTAAAGCAGAGGCAAGGAACATTTTACAAGAGAGAGTTCAAGGATCAGCTAGAATTATATATAACAGCCCCAAGAAAACTCAGAACTTATATAAAAGCAGAGCTGCCTGTTTCATGGGATCCTGGTGAGCTGCAATTATGGTATGAACACGCATGGACCTCATGTACACATGTCCAATGTGACTGGTGGGTATTTGGTGATTTTGCTATCATTTATGGTTTGGATTGATTGATTATGTGTGTTGCATTCTTAATGCATCTTTCTTTTGTTTGAATATATTGCTCACCACCTGGCCTGGGGGCCAAAGGAGGAACATATAAATAAATCATATCATAAAAGAGCACGTATTCCAAAACCTTGAAAGATTTCTGAAGAAAATGCCCATTTCTTTAAATATTTTAGAAAATAACAAGTTAGCTGTTAGTATAGTTTCTAGCTCTTGAGTCATTTGAGTGTGGGTTTTTTGTGGGGTTTTTTAGTATAATTTTACAAGTGATGAGTCCTTAGCACTATATAATTTAAAAGGATGAAATAATAGCATAAATTATTACACAATCATAAAACTTTAAAGGAAAAGCAAATCTGTTCCATGGTTTGTGTTAGACTGGAAAAGTCATATTATTTATCATTTAGGGTTAGGGTTTCAGTTTAGCTGGGTCACTTCCAGAACCTCATGGAACAAGACGGCTTCCAGAATCCTTAGGGAAATATAATGAGTGAACTTTCTGAGCGAACTTTCTCAATAGTCTATAGCTGTTGTGGTATTGTCAGGGACTAGACGTGACATCAGGTAGTATAATGATGATGATGATGATGATAAATTTATCATTTATACCCTGCCCATCTGACTAGGTTTCCCCAGCCACTCTGGGTAGCTCCCAACAGACTATTAAAAGCACGATAAAAGATCAAACATTAAAAATTTCCCTAAACAGGGCTGCCTTCAGATGTATTCTAAATGTCAGATAGTTGTTTATTTCCTTGACATTGATGGGAGGGCGTTCCACAAGGAGGGTGCCACTACCAAGAAGGCCCTCTGCCTGGTTCCCTGTAACCTCACTTCTCGCAGTGAGGAAACTGCCAGAAGGTTCTCGGAGCAGGACCTCAGCATCCTGGCTGAACGATGGTGGAGGTGCTCCTTCAGGTATACTGGACCAAGGCCCTTTAGGGCTTTAAAGGTCAGCACCAACACTTTGAATTGTGTTCGGAAACATATTGTTCCTTGGTGGAACAATATAATGGCACCAAAGCTTCAACTCCCACCAGTAAGGAAATACATACCCCACTGGAACCCAACAAGAATGGAGCAACAGGATCGATGGCTAGAGCACAAGTTAAACTCAGCCTATATGAAAGCTTTAAAAATCATACACAGATTTGTTTAAAACATGGGCAGGCAAACTAAGGCCCCGGGGGCTGGATGTGGCCCAATTGCCTTCTAAATCCGGCCCGTGGATAGTCTAGGAATCAACGTGTTTTTACATGAGTAGAATGTGTGATTTTATTTTAAATGCATCTCTGGGTTATTTGTGGGGCATAGGAATTCATTCTTTTTTTCTTGTCAAAATATAGTCTGGTCCCCCACAAGGTCTGAGGGATAGTAGACCGGCCGCCTGCTGAAAAAGTTTGCTGACCCCTGGGTTTAAAATAATGCTAGCTTTCACCTCTGCTGCTGCTGGAACTGTTCCAGGTGCTGAACGGCCTCCTAAATGTAAGCTGCTGTCTTTCGTATATTTTTAAAGAGAAATATGATCCCTAATCAAGGGTTTAGAAACCGAGTGTGAAAACATGCCAGCAGCCCTCAATATCCCCTCCACAGCTTCACCTCTGACCTTTGCTCATTCTTTGGGAGGAGCAGGATGAAAATTAATTGCACTTTTAGGTAAACACATTGAGAACCCTGACTATGGGGACTATGCTCATCTGAATGCACAAATCATTCCCCCTCCGATTGAGAGTGAGGGGATTGAGCCAATGGGAACATTGGGAGCAAGGCTGGTGTGTGCTCCACATGTTCCCTCTACACCAGGTGTGGGGAGCCTTTGACCCTCCAGATGTTGTTAGCCTACAACTCCCATTTCCCCAGCAAGCACGGCCAGGGATGACAGGAGTTGTCATTTAGCAACATCTGGAGTGGCAAAGGTTCTCTACACCTGCTCTAAGCATTATTCCTACTCATATTCTTTGAATGTCCAAATAACCTGTATGATACCTGGGGTGGCATTTACATCCCAAACCAAAACAGCTAGCTTGCCTGTTGAATATGAGTCACAGAGGACTTCAGCCATTTCCTGTTTTTATAACTTAGTTCCCATTTATATTGCCCATAGTTGGAAGGAATCCCAAGTACACAACATCGGGTGCTGCCTGAACCCATTGTCATCCTGCTTTCTGAAAACAAACAGGGAGAGAGAGTATATTTGGCTGATGGCCTCAAGTCTATGACTTCCAGCCATAGCCAAACAGTCTAAAATTTGTTGGTAATTGTCATACCAGGTAGCCCCACATCTAGTCCCACATCTCTTTGGGGGGATACGTTCTTATGCTGTTGAAGATTAATGTGCCCCTGGACATGTTAAGCTCCTGTACAACTAGTCTAGTCTAATCCTGTTTTATTGTTGCTTCTGTGCTGCTTTGGGTGATTTTTTTAACAGCAGGCATGATCTATAAATCAAGAATTTCTGAGCAACTAGTAACTCAGGCTTGAGCTATGGCATAGTTGAGCTGGATCTGGGTTTTTTTATTCCTGAGGGCTTAGTAACTTTGAGGGTATTGTAGAATTATGTTGTGTTTATATATCATGTATTATAGATATTGTATTGAATTATTATTATTTGAACTGGCTTCCATGAGATGTACCTATAAAGTATAGGCACCTATAAAGTCAGCCTACAAATATTTTATTAAAAAAAATACCTATGGAGAAGTTTTAGGTGTTGGCCTTGATATTTGTTCAGGATTTGTTCAGGAATGCCATCAGAACACATTTCATAGAATCACGTCCATAGTGTTAAGAAATTATGGTTAGTCCTGTTTAAGACCTACCTACCATAAAACTGCATTCTTGTTAGATGCTGTTCCAATATATTTGGTGAACTGTGACCAAATAATGATGGCATTTACTAAGAGTGGGCACAGGCCCCAATATTTTTCTTCTATCTGTGAGGTCCAGTTTGTTTCTGAATCACCCTCTGCTTTCTCTACCTCAGTCTGTATTCCCATTCACTATGGGAATGAGAATCTAAAAATGGGAATCTAAAAATGGTTGCAACCCACCCACCCCCTGTTGCCCAAAGTGTATGAAATTTGCAGGCATGAGAGCTCATCTAGAATTTCAGACAAGTAGGTACAGGAGATTTTTCAGGAGATTCACTTTCCTCCATTATCCATCATTGTTTCATATCTTTGAGGAAGAGGGGGTTTATCCCTTTCTCTTTCTTACCTTAAAATAATTATTAAGTGGCCAAGTCATGTAAATTCTTGCTTGTGCATTAAAAAAACCTTTGCCGTTTCACACCAGCCTTTCCAGTACTAGGCCGCACAGGCTTCCAATAGAGTTTACAATGTGAGACTATCTAGACTGTCTAGCTTTCCAAACTGTGTGTTACGACACAGTGTGTTGGCTGTGGTGTGTAGATGTATCACACAAACGCTCCCTGCACTCCTTCCAGGGCAGGAAAGGGTTAGTTTAGCCTCCAGTTAGTTTAACCTCCAATAAAACCGAATTACTGTGTCTTGAAATGATGCATGACCAAAAAATGTGTCACCAACTTGAAAAGTTTGGTAAGGTCTGGTCTAGAATGTTTCCTACAGAGAGCTGGAAAGCTCTAGGGATTGTATTATATTGAACTGAATTGAATTGTACAGGTGGTGACCATTTTAGGATCATCCAACTGATGCATGATGAATGACACACAGGTCCTTTTGGAGTTGGAAGGGACCACGCAGGTCATCTAGTCCAACCCCGTGCAATGCAGGAAATTTTCGCTCAAGGTGGGGCTTGAACCCACAACCTAAGATTAAAAGTCTCATGAGCTATCCCAGCTGTTTGGCACTATAAGGTACAAAACATACAGGAAAAAACCCCACAGCAACAGAAAGACAAGGCTTTAGAGGAGTCCTGATCTGGCCGGTGGTGGAGTATTGACATTGCACAAGGTGGATAAGACCCCTGAATTATCCTGATTCACCTAATTATTTGGCCCCCATATAGAACTGATGCACACCCCTGTCATAGACATGGATATTCTCATTTGTCCCTCAACGGTTTTGAAACCCAGAAGATTCATTAAAGTCTGAGAATTTTCTGGAAGCTAAGAAAGGCCTTTTCCATCTATTGTTTACACAGAGAATTGAATGCATGCAAGATCATTTCGTTTTTGAATATTTGATGTCTAACCTTTTTAAAATGTAGTAATTCATCCTGAGCCCCAGTGATAGGGTGAGTAATAAATCTAAATACTATACACAGATAAATAAAGCACCAGAGTTCCAAAGCAATGCTCTTATAAAGAATTATTTAAAGCCTTTTGATGAAAACCCAACTTTGATGTTTTGCATTACTGTTATTCAAAAATATGGAGCAGGTTTTGGATTCTTTTCTTTTTCATCATTATCCAAAATGTTATTCCCCCCCCCCCTTCCCGTTAAGGGATGCATTTCTGCAAGGGCAATCTGTTGGGGGCTGCATGGCAGAGGTGGGTGTGCCCAGAGCCAAGAGTGAGTACTTACAGCGATTAGTAGGTCTCTGTTAGCTGAAGTGGTATATAGCCATCCAGGGCCAGCCCAAGGCATTTTGGCACCTGATGTGAACCACAAAATGGCACCCTCCATCCATGCCAGGTAAGAAGGGGTGAGTGAAGATCTACTGTGAAAAAACTATCACAAGGGGGGAATAAAGATCTATGTTGGTATCTGCTGCCCCTGTGGATCCTGCACCTCCCCTTGCCTTGTGAGCCGGCCTTGTAGCCATCATGATGAGCAGCCACATCCTTTATAAATTTGTCTCATTCTCTTGCTTAAAGCCAATTGGTGGCCAACACCACATCTTGTGGGAGAAACTTCCATAGTTTAAGCATGTGCCGTGTGAAGTACTAGTGCAAGAGCACAAGCTTTTGCACGTATAAAGTTGCTGGTTGGTACTTTCACTTAAAGGCTCCTATAGAGATGGCTATGGAAAACCCTCTGCCACATACATGACAAAAATTACTGGCAGTTAGAGACGACAGCACTGAACCACACAGACCAGTGATCTCAGGCGCCACCTGGAATTTATCTCAAGCAAGCCCCACTGAATTGCAATAATGTTATTGCTCAGCTTTGATTTACTTTAGTAGGGTTTGCACAAGAAACATTCCCAGCGGTTTGTACTAAATTTAGCTGATGTTCATAGTGTAATATGTTTTGCTAATAAAATACCTTTCACTTTATAAACCCTTTCCTGGGGATTAATGCTCAGTCGCCTCAATCCCAAGGCTCACGCAAATTTACTGACATGTAATCATAAAAGATCTACCAACTAGCTTAACTAGCCCGTGGGACAAATTAGACCAACCCCAGCAACCAATAGGGACCGTGTGACTGTTTTCTGATGACCAATGCTTTTCTTTTAAAGAAAACAAGGTTCCGGTACTCACCATAAAGTTGTTACAGTAAGCGCCACGCTTTTAACATGGGGAGGGGGGAGGTGCCAGTACTGTGAACCCTTGAGTACCCCCAGAAAAAGCACTGCTGATGACCAAACTATGTCCCCCACCTGATAGCATGCGCAGGGCACATAAAACCTCTCCAGGTTAGTCACAGCTGGCAAGGAACGATTGGAGGCACATAAAAGAACATTAGCATTTCAGTCCAAAAGAATGCATAAATAGCCCTTTGAAAAAAGACTGAAGTCCTTTTGATCAGCTGTCAGACAGGGAGCAGGAGGATCTGGATGCAATCTCCTCTACCTCTCAAACACCTGATCTCTGGTATGGTTCAACCTCCTTGAAAGGGCTCCATATGCACAGCTCTAGCTGCTATATCAGGAAGGATCCATTTGCATGGTGTTTGTGCGCATGCAGGGCCCTCCGCTGAGTTTGGGGCACATGCACAGAAAACACATATGCTGTTTCTAGCTGGATTGGGGTATTTATGAAGTGGGGTTCTCTGCTTTTGAGACTAGAAATCTTAATCTCTGATGGAAAGTAAAAAGCAGTTGGGGACTCTGGATCCTGTGTGTGTCATGAATATGATACAAGAAGATATGAAAAAGTCGGTCATAAAATTTGAGAGTCCTAATCCTGCCATCTGCTGGAGACTGTATTTTATCATTGTAGATGCTGTCTTTTTTAAACAAAAAAAGCAAAAAACCACAATTATATCATTTGTTGCCTGGAAAGAAGATCAAAATGCAATGCAACTGCTAGGGCATGTCACTATAGAAAAATCAACTTGATCACAAACATAAGAGCATAAATAGCTGGGAAAGTGCCTTAGAATGATCACCCCTACTGCTTACCTAACCACACCATGCCACACATATACACATCTTGTGGAATTACCTTTATTGTAAGCTGCTCCAGGAGCTAATTGGCTGAAAGGTGGAGTATAAATATACTTAGCTGGGCAACTTAAATAGGGAAGAGTTGGGTGTGTCCAGAATGCCAAGGCAAGGTACCTGTTAGCATCCTAGGCGGAGAGGTGTGTGCAGTGCATTCAGTTTCCTTTGTTGTTAAGGTCAGGCTATTCTGTGCAGAATGTATTTTGTATATTTGCTTGCTTGCTTTTTAAAAAAAAACATACCACCAAAATGCAACCTTGAGAAGAGAGGTGTTGGGCAGTATCCAGCTAACGTATGTATCTCATTAGCACAAGGATTTTCATTTGTGCAACAGGACTTGCCATGCCCTGCACTCTCCTCAACACTGTCCCAGGGGGTTTGGGGACAGAACAGATTTGCACTGTTGCACAAGTGGAAAACCTTGTGCCGACAAAACCATGACTTCATGCTGGTTTGGGTACAACCTATAGTCTCATGTAGCACAGACTATCATATTGAGTTGTGGCAGTGGTGAATTGAATGCTGACTTTGTGGCAATGTGGGTAGGGCAGCTTTTTAAAAAGTCAGTGGGAGGGACTTCTTTTTGCATCAGGTTTCAAGCTACCATTGACAGGGGCACAGCCATGGAGGCCGTAAGATACAGTGCAACTGTCTTCTTCCTTCATGCTGCCCACATCCCCATGACCACACCAGGTTTTAGCTGTTTTGCTAACATATCTTTGCCAGCATGTCTTGAGTCCTGTCTTGGAGGGATCGTCAGAGAAGCTTGGAAGAAGAAGAAGAAGAAGAAGAAGAAGAAGAAGAAGAAGAGGAAGAAGAAGAAGGAGAAGAAGAATAGTAGTAGTTTGGATTTGATATCCTGCTCTATCAATACCCGAAGGAGTCTCAAAGTGGCTAACAATCTCCTTTCCCTTCCCCTCCCACAACAAACACTCTGTGAGGTGAGTGGGGCTGAGAGACTTCAGAGAAGTGTGAGTAGCCCAAGGTCACCCAGCAGCTGCATGTGGAGGAGCAGGGAAGCAAACCTGGTTCACCAGATTACAAGTCCACTGCTCTTAACCACTACACCACATTGGAGACCTTGAGGACCCTGTGGAGGGTCGCAGCAAGATGGTGGTAGCAGAATCTGAGCTCCAAGACATGCTTTATCCCGGGCAGGTCCCAGCTGGTTAAAATATGGAGATCCACTCTCCAAAAGAGACTCAGGCTCTCGCATCCCATTACCTCCCTTCCAGACATGCCTGACTCAGCTTCTCTAGCCAAGGAAGCGCACTTCTTCATCATTTAAATGCAGTGCAGCACTTTTGCTGCTAAGCCACTGGGCATGCTCAGTCTTCACTGGACTGTTGAGGTGGGGGCTCCTATAGCTCTCCCCCCTAAATAGGTCTGTACCTCTGAAAATCTGGGGGCTCCCCCAAGCCTGATCCCTCGATCTGCTCAATGGGTGGCACCATTTTCGTTCCATAAGCAATTGCACTCACTCAGGAATGGATTCCCAATACAAATCTGTTGGGCTATAATTAATCCTCTTTTTTCATATACTGGGTAGGAGCAATAACCTTTGGCCTTTAAGATTCCCTTCTAGCTGTAATATCCTATATGCTACCACATAATGCATGCAATAATTGCAGAGAAATACATTGCCTTCCGTGTATCTTAAGTATTTTACTATGCAGAGTGTGGTACAAATTGCATTGGGTTGTACATAATTTATCTCATAATTATCTTAAGAGATACTATTGACTTTTTTCTTCTGTAGTGCAGAAAGCAACAAGAAGTGTGGCTTACCACTGAGGCTTTTTAAAAGATGACAGAAGACAAGATTTTGACATTAAGAATTGTAACTAACCCCAAAACCCAGTGCCCTTTTTTTTTTTAAACTGCATTTCTCATTTCATTTTAGGTAGCCTTTGTAAACACAACAGAAAATCTGCCGTTCGACCTTAGCAGGTATGCTTTCAAAGTTCTTCACATCCAATTTCTCCCTGGGTGCTGGATTCCTTAATGGTCTCATTTCTGAAATGGAAGAAAAATAATAATGATACACTAAGAATTGTTCTGGCTTTTATCTCATTTGTTTAGAACATTGTGCATGTGGAATTTGCTACAATTTCTGTAGGTATGCATTTGCAATTATCATTGCTAATATTCATAGGTATGCATACTCTGCAGGTATGCATGCAAATGTTTATCTACAAATTATTCAGAAACAACAGTTCTTGACTAATTCAAAGGCACCTGGAAGATGGAGCCTTTCTGTGGACTGTGGGAGGGTTAAGGGTATTTTATAAAGGTGTTCAGCATTAAGTTGCAAAGAACTAGAACAGAGAATGGAAGCCATTATAAGAAATTCAGGCAGCGCCTCCCCTTCCTGGTGAGTTAAATGTAGTGATCATCTCTGAAAAGTCCATTATATTATCAGTGGAATTAATCAAGTGTCTCATTGTTACTTGCTATTTCAAAATGGAAAGAAGAGATTCATTTGCACTTTCTCTCTCATCTGTTCATTTATTCCTGTGTATTAAAGGAAAGAAACCCCTTGCAGATGCATTCTGTAGAAGATCAGGTTTGGTTCATCTTCATCCTTATCCATAACACTTGCTGATTTCAGAGTATCAGCTCCCTAAACAGCAGCTGCTTTACACAAAATTCAATCTTGATTTCTTCCCAGGCACCAGAGATCAATAAAGACTAATTTGCATTAAGATGTATAAAGCATTCAGGGGAACACATCCAAATGATGGTGTGGGAAAGGAGCAGATAGTATCTAATTCTAATTAATATTAAAAACGAAATGGCCCCAGCTTCCAGCCTAAAAAATTTCAAATAACATTTTCCATAGCTAAAATTGTCATTGGCAATTCGAGACAACAAAGAAAGCTGAGGTAGAGCTCCAGCAACAGACTAATTGCTTTATTCGGGAACATATTTTTCATAAGCTGCTTTAGACGATGCATGGAATGGGCATGAGTGTTCTCAATTAGCGCTTTGCACCGCGACGCCCACAATGAAGAGACGAGACAACAGTTGGGGATTTAAGCTGAGCAAGAAATTTGATTAAATACAAAGCAAAGGATATGCAATAGGTAATGAGAGCTAACTACTGACTCCCCCCTCTCCTGTGCAAGTTCCTATTAATTTGAAGCTTTGGACCACTTCCCTTTTAGCTCAAATTCTTCAGATATCCCCCCAACCCCCCCAACCCTTGACTGAGGGTTTTGAAATAGTTGCCTCCTTACTTAGAGTATGTTCACACTTACATTTAATGTGTTTCTAGTGTTGCATTTTAAAGCCATGTTCACACAGCGTTCTTAGTAATGTGTGCGCACATCCTGTTTCTGCCCCCCCCCCTTTTAAACCAACTTTACAGCAATTGGAAACCACAAGCCCATGCAATTTAGGGTTGCCATGTGTCCTTTTTTTCCTGGACACATTCTCTTTTTCATGGGTAGAGTCATCAGACCAATCTGTAGTTAAGAGTAGAAGTCGGCAAATATGTCCTCTTTTTTGCTCTTCAAAATATGGCAACCCTACACCTTTAAGTATACCTGAAGGAGCATCTCCCCACCCTCCACATTGTTCAACCCGGACACTGAGGTCCAGCGCTGAGGGCCTTCTGGCGGTTCCCTCATGGCGAGAAGCCAAGTTACAAGGAACCAAGCAGAGGGCCTTCTCGGTAGTGGCGCCCGCCCTGTGAAACACCCTCCCATCAGATGTCAAGCAAATAAACAACTCTGTGACGTTTAGAAGACATCTGAAGGCAGCCCTGTTTAGAGAAGTTTTTTATGACTGACATTTTAATGCAGCGCCGGTTTTATTTATAAGCTAAACAAGCTATAGCTTAGGGCCCCACTCTCTTGGGCACCCCCAAAAAATTAAAGGAAAAAAAACCTGGGTATACATTTCCAAAATATAAGATAAAAAAATAAAAATAAAACCTACATACAGTAACAGTGTTGTGTGTTGTGTAGGCTCCTATTTGTTATGTGCAAATGGCTTTAGATATCTATTAGGTCCATAAATTACCATATAGCATATATTCAACACAAAAACAGCAACAGTTTGTTGTTGACAAAGGACAGCTGGACATATAAAGAGCCCCATTACCTTCAGTAGCTTGGGGCCTCATCAAACCTAAATCCGGCCCTGTTTTAATGTATTTTTAATCTTTTGTCGGAAGCTGCCCAGAGTGGCTGGGGAAACCCTACCAGATGGGCGGGGTATAAATAATAAATTATTATTATTATTATTAAGCCTTGTGAGCCCCTTTACCAAAGCCACCTCTTCTGCTGTGGGGGGTCCTATAGTGATGATGTCATTGTGGGAGTGAAAGGACCAAATTCAAAAAGCCTCTCCAGAGCGCAGGCACAAGAAGGGCAGTCAGATTGCACATGCTCAGATATGTACCTGATGCCTTCTAGTATTTCCCTGCAATGTCATATCCAGGTAACCACTGTTACTGTTGAACGATTAAGTGCACACAGGTGAGTTCAATGGTACAAACGCACATCAGCTACGGATGAGTTAAAAACAGCACCACCCTGTTATCCTCGGTTGAAAGGCAGTATAGGTATTTAAATAAAGAAATAAATGCCCCCTGCATTGGGGAACCTGTGGTGATTTGGGGGGAGGAGGGTGCATTTTGCAGCACAACGGGAAAATCAGACTTATTGCTTTCTAAGGTGAAAATGTGAACATTCCCTTAGAGGTGTATGGGCTAGCCTTCTCGGTTTCCCCCCTTTCTTCCTTCCCTTCATTACCTACTTTGCCCAAGGCAAAATCTCAGCACTTTCCTCAAAATGTTGCATTAGGCATAATTAGATGATAGCTCTAAAGATTTTATTTTTTAAAAAAAACCTAGCAGGGGACCCAACAAGTCATATGTTTTATATGCAGTATGGAAACTGCATCTTTCCTTTTCTCTAACCCACTGGCAGAAGGATGGGATCCTGAGTCTCACTGTGAAGGCAACACGTAGGAATGGAGGACCATCTTCTTCATTAATGGAAGGTAATGGTTGCTAATCTTGAATGGCTACATGCAATATGAAACTAGGATACAATTTGCAGGGAGGTAACAGTGGGGAAACTCCTAGAAAGTCCTTTGGCCTCATCCAACAGGGTCCTTTCTGTGTTCTCATGTAATTTGCTGAAATGTTACATTTCTTAGCCAACAAACGTGGCCTTCACACAGTGCAGACTATGGGATTTTCTCCCACGAGATGTATCAGTGGCCACCGACTTGGATCACTTTAAAAGGATATTTGACAGATTAATGGAGAATAAGGCTTTCAGTAGCTACTAGCCACGAGAGCTACGGTCTCCTTCTGAAGGCCAGTTTCCGGGTAGAACAAATAGGGAGAATGCTGCTGTTCTCAGTTCCTTCTTGCAGGCTCCCAATGTGAGAACAGGTTAATGGACTATATAAGTATTTGGTCTGTTCCACCAGGGCTCTCCTTGTTTCTTAGTTTTGTCCTACATGGATCTTTGCCCTCTATCTCTGTATTTTGAAAAGTGACATCAGAATTCCAGCCTGTGTGGGGAGTGGAGTTTAGTCACATAGGGCTAAAAAGGTGGTTCACTTATTTTATTTTATTATTTTAAAAAAGATTGATGATACTGTAATCGCAATTCTGTGTAAGAGTTCAATGCACTAAAAATTGCCACTGTAACCGTTACAATCACATAGTAGTTTTGAATTGTTTATGCCTCCAATTACTGTAGTCCCACTGCTTAATTAATTAAATTTATTCCTGCTCTGCCTATTCTTTTCTGCATGGAGTCCTTGAGGGGTTTAGACAAATTAATACTGTAACACTTTCCGTATTTATGAATATCATATTGCTGAACTTTCAAAAACCGTGCCTCTGTAATTCATTAGTCCTTCAGCGACTGGGCCCTATTCTGCAAAGGCTGAAACCTACAGTATCTTGATTTTAGGTGCTGCGTGATGTAGACAGCTGCCCTTTTGATTTGCAGCTTCATTTGCGAATGCTTTGTAGAATAACTGGGGGCAAAAATACTTGACATCTATAAAATATGTTCAGAGCATTTACAGCACTTCACATAGGTCAGTCCCATTTACGTGGAGATACCCTTGTGCCTGGTCTGGAAACTCCAGCTGGTGGAGAATTCAGTGGCTAGACCACAGCTTTCCAAACTGTGTGTCGCAACACGTTAGTGTGTTGGCTGCAAATGCTCCCTGCGCTCCTCCTGCGGCTGGAAAGGGATCAGTTTAACCTCCGGTTTGCTAGCAAAACTGAATTACTGTGTCGTGAAATGATGCATGTCTAAAAAAGTGTGTCACTAACGTGAAAAGTTTGGAAAGCTCTGGGCTAGACTGCTGTCGGGAGCAAACAGCGGGCAGCATGGGACACCTCTGCTAAAACATCTGCATATGCTACTGGGGCAAGTTCAATGTCTTTGTGTTGATATACAAAGCCTTGAACAACTTAGTCCTAGCATATCTTAAGGAGCACCTGAACCCGTATAATCTAACACGATCACTGAGATCATCCAGAGGAGTGCTGTCAGTTGTTCCCCACATTGCAGGGCCTCAATTAAAAGTTGAGCATTTAGTGTTGCTGGTCCCTTCTGTGGGACGGACTCTTCCAGCAGAGATTTGGCAGGCATCTTTGCTGTGAACTTTCAGGCATCTCTTAAATACCTTTTTACCCCAATAAGCATTTTTAGCTGTTAATTTTCAATTTGATTAGCCAGTCACCTTAAACATTTTATGTACAGTGGTACCTTGGGTTACAGATGCTTCAGGTTACAGACTCTTCAGGTTACAGACTCTGCTAACCCAGAAATAGTACCTCGTGTTAAGAACTTTACCTCAGGATGAGAACAGAAATCGCGTGGCGGTGGCAGCAGGAAGCCCTATTAGCTAAAGTGGTGTCTCAGGTTAAGAACAGTTTCAGGTTAAGAACGGTCCTCCGGAACAAATTAAGTTCTTAACCCAAGGTACCACTGTATTTTTATTTTATAATTTTTTATTTTATAATTTTTTTATTGTGTTCTGTTTTTAACACTATACACTGTCCTGATATTTTATGATATGGCAGCGTAGCAAAAAATAATGATGATGCAGATGCAAAGGGATTTCAGACGGTATATAAATTGAAATAATAATAATAATAATACTTTGAGTTAGTCTTTGCCATTATGCTACTAAAACTAAACCTTGTTGTGTTTTAAGCTTTATAATGCTATCTTAAAAATTCTATCTTAAATAGGCAAGAAGTTGTTAATTTTTAAAATGCTCCAGCGACTTAATAATACCCCTTTACAGCAGCCACATGCAGAGTTGGTCTTGCAAGACTATGTGAAGTTGCTAGTTAGTTGAAAGCTTGATTCTACGCATGTTTATTTGGAAGTAATAGCCGCAGTATTCCTTGGTAACAAAGCAACCAATCACCCAAGTGATACTTAAAAATTAATACGTAATATGTGTATGGTTTCATTAGTGGCAATGGAAATTGTTGCCTGCTAAAATAGTTATCTGCCATATACCTGCCACAAGCAAATGATATTACCTGCTCTGCCAGTTCAGCAGTCAGATGTGGAAGTTATCGGGGGGGGGGGGTCTTGTCAGAGGGAGCAGGCTCCCAGGATTCCTACAGATCCTGAAACCTTCCTGTGGGATAATTTCATAGATCTCCCACAGCCATGTCTTCTGCCTTAGTTGACACAAACCAGCAGGGCTTGGGGTATGTCAGTAGATCTGCCTTCCCCCACCTCCCGTTGCAGAATAAATAAATCGAGCCGAATGGGACTGGAATGCCTTTAAGTGGTTTTGGAATGCTAAGAAAATGGTAGGAAGTGGCAATCCATTCCCTTTATTATAATGTGAAATGTAGTCTTTAAATTAAAGAAATACGAAATATATATTTGGAAGTCGCATTTGTAGTTGGTTTTACAAGCGTTCACAGATGGAATTAGAATTAAGTTGCTGGTGTCCTTAGTATGATATGCAAACGACAGCATTTTATGTTTAGTGTATTATAGGTAAATATTAATGCTGTCTAAAAAGCATCTGCGTTTTTAATGGTACCATGCTTTAATATTTAAGAGAAGTCTTAACATTTTATGCCCTGGAAATTGTTCCTTACCTCAGATTTATATTTCTAATAAGTGTAAGTTTTCTAACACATAGTGGTAGGAATTAATGTGTTGTAGTTCCGATTTACGTATAATTATGTACAATAATCCTGATTAATTATGTATGATTATGTATAATAATTATGATTAAATCAACGTTTTAGTAAACATAGCACATATGTGTGGGAAAAGGATGGAGAATCCTCTCCCAGAGGTGCTAGGGGTTTTGTTTGTTTTTTACACAGAGGGAGCTTTTTATGTGAGGGAATATGAAAAACCTCACCACACACACACACACACACACACACACACACAAAAACCATAGGCCTCATCTGCTCTATACCTTAAAAGCAGTATCATCCCAAAGAATTATGGGAACTTTCATTTGTCCAGAAAGATAATGGCTGTTAATCCTTGCCAGTCTACATCCAGCTGAGGTGTATCAACTCCTGACAACTTCAAACCTGAAAATATTCTACAGCCTTGTACATTTATGTAATTAATTTAAAGAGGCCATGTTATTTCCCTAGAGATGGAGCTGTTTGTGTGTGCAGGGATGCACTAGTGTTATAGTTCACTGGCCACAGTGCCCAGAATCAAAAGGTTAATTATTACCAGTGCATGGTCAGAGATCTTCTCGAGACCTACCCAGGCCTCCTTCAAGCCTTCCTGGAGAGAATAGGACATACAGTGGTACCTCGGGTTACGTACTTAATTCATTCCGGAGGTCCATTCTTAACCTGAAACTGTTCTTAACCTGAAGCACCACTTTAGCGAATGGGGCCTCCTTCTGCCGCCGCGCCGCCGGAGCATGATTTCTGTTCTCATCCTGAAGCAAAGTTCTTAACCTGAGGTACTATTTCTGGGTTAGAGGAGTCTGTAACCTGAAGCGTATGTAACCTGAAGTGTATGTAACCCAAGGTACCACTGTAAACCCAAGGTACCACTGGAAAGGGACCCATAGCGAGAGGAACAGAAAGTGAAAGCTGGGCCATCAGGCTGTCTCTCCTGCCATCAAGCCATGAGAGACTAAAAGATTTGCAGATTTGCACTCCCTAGATGGAGAAATCAGGGCTTCCTGGCCCTTCCTGTCCAAACCCTCAGGACATATAAAGCGTCCCTGATTTAGAGAAGCTGTCCCAGTTTCTGATTCGGTTCTGGAATGTCCCACTTTTCCTTAGGATGTCCCTATTTTCATTGGAGAAATGTTGGAGGGTATGTAGTTATCCGACCCCCGAGCCGTTTGAAGGCAATCCTGTATAGGGAAGATTTTTTAAGTGTTTAATGTTTTATTATGTTTTTGTATGTGTTGGAATTTGCCCAGAGTGGCTGGGGCAACACGGTAAGGTGTTGGGGGGTATAAATAGTAAAATTATCATTATGGAATGGCACGTCCCTATTTTCATCGTAGTAATGTTGAAACGTATGATAAAGATCACCACCAATCAAGACAACACCTTCCTTAAATTTCTCCAGAAGCAAAAGAGTACACACTAGAAACTTCCACTGAACACTGCTGCCTTGAGTTCATTGATGGAAAGGCAGGATGAGAAATTCTCCTGCTGTGGAGGGTACAAGATATCTAAACTCTTTCTTACCTTTCCCTAATCGGTCACAATGTATAATAATTGACTGAATATCATCCTTGAGTGGCTCTCTTGTGCATCTACAGGGCCTTGATAAAGCCATAAGTATAAAAGAAGCAGCTACAGAGACAACGAACAACCAAGAGAGACTGGAGCAGGGAAACAGAGAGGAGATTAACCCCTTTTAAAATAAGGACAATATACCAGGAGAGAAACTGTTAGCATCCATCTGCATTAGCAGCACCAAAGTGACATTCCTGGGGCACAAGCTTGGGCAGGGTGTATGGAGGTCATGGGCTGTGATCCTCCAGCCATGAAAAGTCTGTCCCCAGTTCAGTAAGTGTCATTGAAAGCCTAGGCTGGTCTGCTGGGAATGCCAGTGCCCTCCCATGAAACAGGCCACCAGCACAAGCAAGTGGTGGATATACAGCAGCTGTGTCTGGAGGATTGCTCCCTTTTATTAACATACTCTTCATACTACAAAGGAAAAGCAGTGACAGGTTATATTCCACATTCTGGCAAAAGATGCTCCGTATGAATAGAAGCAGGAGGGAGGCCCTGGGCAAAAGATGTTTCTTCCCAGGTAATGACAAATAACTTATTTATCCTTGTATTGTGAAAGGGGAGGGGGGAGTTTTCTGACTGAGCAAGTCACAGCACTGTTTACCTTCTCTCCCTCCCTCTCTCTAGCACATCCTTCCCCCTTACCTGCACAAAGAGAGAGAGAGACAGAGAGAGGCTACAATTGCGCATTCAAACTTTTCAGAGAATGCAGATGCTAGTGGGAGGTGAAATGAAAAGCCAGAGAGCAAGAGAGGCAAGCAAAACATTTTCACCCAAGTGATGCACAGGTACCCACAAAGCAGCATTGCAATGCTGTTTGCATGAATGTGCAGGGGGGGTAAATTGCTTGCATGCGTGCGCACACACACACACACACACACACACCCTGCTCCGAGAAACACACTTGACAATTTGTTTCTAATTACTGTTGATGTCTGATCACTTATTCAGCTCCGCCATCAAAAGAAGACACAAGCAAAAGGAGCAAAGATATTTAAGGAGAGAAACGATAAGCCAGAGACAGCTTGTTGCATATTCATTCCTTTGAAATAAGCAGAACTTAAGAGAGCTGATGCACATGTCTAGGAAGATGTTCAGTGGCCCAGTTTGCAATGATTCCTGCTGAATTTTGCCAGACCAAATAAACAAGTGTTTGGGTTACATTCGTTCTTAACCTTGATTTAGATTTTCTACTGTGTTTTATTGTTCTAAAGATGTTTTAAACAGTTTTTAAAATGCTATAATTGTTTTTACTGTATTTTAGTTTTAACTGTATTTTTTTAAATTACCGATAAGTCTGCTGTCCTGGAGACTTTTGTGAAGAGGGCTGGGATACAAATTTAATGAAACAAATATAATAAATTTCAGCAAGGCTAGGGAGGCCTCTGTGCCTGGTAACTAAGATCCAGAGCAAATTTACCTCTCTTAATTATTTTAACATTTTTCTTGTTGCAGATGTGCATGGTCTGCCCTAAAGGTCCTTCAACACCCCATGTATTCTCCCAGATTTCTGCAAAATCCACCTTAGGTAACTTATTACACATGCCCTGTTGCTTATATGGGAGAGTCTGGTCCTCCCCTCTTCCACATCATCCTTTCTAGCATGCTTCTTCCATGGCATGTGGGGAATTTATGGTGTATTTTTTTCTTTTAGAAAGAGAGAGAAGCATCAGGCGCTGAATGGAAGAAAGCTGGTCTAGGAAGTAAAAGAAAAGCAGGGTGATGCACGGGTCATGTTGCCAAAATAGACAGATAGCAGATGGAGGCAGATAATCTTGGATCTGATACAGAGCAAAAAAAATAAAAAATAAACCCAAACAAACATGCAGTGGAGCAGCTGAAGTGTCAATACATGCCATGGAACAGCATCCTGTTCCTGCCTCAAAAGAGAAATAGACAACAATTGTAGGGAAAGAATGCAGAAAAAAAAAATCATTAATGCTGGAGCCTTCCTGTATGGTCAAAGAGATATGCAGAACTTCCTGAAAATTTCCATTAATTTTAGTGGAATGCCCCAAACCCTGCAAATCCTGGGGTATTTTTCCTTAAGCAGGTGCATCTAAATTTGCTTCCAAATTCCCCTTTAGGTGCCAGCAGCATCTCTAGTTCCAGAAGGGCACGCCAGCTGTTCACACGATATGGATAATTTCTTCACCAGCAGCAGACTCTCAGATATAAACCCAGTGGTGGTAGGAAGGAGGAAGGGGATGCTAAGAGCCTAGCCGTGACTATGGAAAGAACCTCCATGTTTTCAGTGGGTCCCAGATTGCGATATGTGAACCACTCCCCTTCCCTGCTGAGATATTTTGCTAGCCTTACTCGGGGAAATTTAGATCAGTTTGCTGCCATCTTCTCTCTTTCAGTTTAAGCTTTTGAGCCTCTTCACAGACTATTTAATGCCTGTTTCAGGCTATTTATGTCCTCCCCTCCCACGGCATGCACAGTGCTCAGGGCAGCTTACAGCAATATTTTAAGGAGCAAAATAAAATAATGAAAAACGTTGCATGTAATGCCCATCTTAAAAGGCCAAAATTGGAATTTATTTATATGTTTATAAAACAGGTTAGTTGCTTGTTATACAAATGACTTGCAGCATTTTTCAAAAGAATAAGAATAAGTAAATATTAGATTAGAACATGGACACTTTCACATAAACATATGAGGAATTTAGAAAAATGCACAAAAGTCTCCCCTCCACTCCAAGAACAGCAGAAGGAAGCTGTTGTAGCGCACAGACAGCAAAACAACATCATCATAGTTTATCAAAAGTCCTGAAAAAGAGGTGTTGGTGGGGAAAGATCCTGACAAACATATACAGTGGTACCTCAGGTTACATACGCTTCAGGTTACATACGCTTCAGGTTACATACGCTTCAGGTTACAGACTCCGCTAACCCAGAAATAGTGCTTCAGGTTAAGAACTTTGCTTTAGGATGAGAACAGAAATCGGGCTCTGGCGGCGCGGCAGCAGCAGGAGGCCCCATTAGCTAAAGTGGTGCTTCAGGTTAAGAACAGTTTCAGGTTAAGTACGGACCTCCGGAACGAATTAAGTAATTAAACTGAGGTACCACTGTAGTGCCTTCCAACTGTCAATATTTTGCAGGAGGGATCTGAGTGCATGTTAAGTGTAATTATTTAACTGACACTGAAAGGGGAATAGCTATGTGTATTGCTGAAAGGTTTGACATTGGAAAATACCCTTGAAATTAAAGAAAACCAAAAAGTGGTCTCTGAGTTCCTTAATGGGTTGATAACTAATTGTTGTTGTTCTGTGGTAGATAACATGTGAGTGTTTAACATTAGATCAGGGAAGAAGGGTATTTGGTTGCAAACTAAAGTTGCCTTTAGTCTTTGTTCTCAGCCTCTGTGAGAGTAAGATGTGATAACTGAACTCACTCCAAGAGCATGCAACTTCAGGCAAAATGGAGGCTGTAAGGAGACACACCTTTGCTTATGGGTGTGTTTGAAATTTTATTTTATTTTTAAGATGCTGAGCCTGTACTGGACAGCACAAGAAATTGTATCGAACTATTTGGATGCATCTTTGATGTTTGTGTTCTGTTTTGAAGAAAGTTCTGCAAGTAAAGTTTTGAATAATATCTAATGGGTCTGGACAATGCTTCGGTCCAAAAGCAGTCAGTTTTTATGCATCCAGTTGCTTCAAGATGTGCAATATTAATATTTGCAGTAGTGCACACCAGAGCTTTCAGTTTATGCGTTTGAAGTGGATTAAGGTGCTCTGTTGTCCTAGCACAACAAATCTACATTTTAAAAAGCTGGACTTTTTGCAGTTTGGAAAGTGATGGGGAAATGCATTGAAAAGTTATAGGGTGAGCGAATGACTAACAGGAAGATTTGTGAACACCCCTCACAGGCAAATCGGGATAAATGCAGCCTCATAGTCAAATAAACACCATGCAGACAAATCAGAATGAATGATCAAGAAGAAGAAGAAAAGATCAGACATAATCTCACCTCTCCATAAGCAAATCAGAATGAATGCTTAATAAATAGATAATCTGCAAGGGTCTATAGACAAACATAGACTGTGTACACACTGTGCAGCACATTCAAAGCACATAGCCATGCAAATAATCCTGGGAACTGTAGTTTAACTCCCACAGAGTACAATTACAAATGGTTTGTGCTTTAAATATGCATTAAATGTATGATATGTATGCAGCCACATATATAAACACAGGTGTTATGAAACTAGGATTGGCTGACTGTGGCAGACCCGGGTTTGCACTGTGCAAAGTGTGAAATGGCCCTGTGAGAGTCAGATCAGAAAACATTCCCTTCTATTTCAATCACGGCGGTTTGCAGAAACATTGCAGGAAAAGTGAATTATTGCCACTGCTTTTCTCCTTCATTTGATTAAATATATTCCACAAGAGATGTAGGATTTGCTCTGCAAGTCCTCTGCTGCTGTGATCTCCCTACTTATCCAGAGCGTTGCGTCATATCAATGCAACTCAACCTTCCTGTTTAGGGATTAGAGTACATTAGGGACTCGGATGAGGCTGCTAAGACTCAATTCCCTTTGGACATCTCACGGATAGTCGGTAATGATTTTCACTCGCTTGGTTTAGAAGGGGATATGAAGCAGGGTCACCATCTAATCCTGCAAATCAGTGGATCCCATTTGTATGGGGATATATTGTAAATACAGCACATGTGGGCTATTATAATAACAAAGTAGTTCCTGGCATCTGCATCTAGAAAAGAATAAGGCAGACGTGTGAGGAAAAGAAACTCTCAGGAGTGAAATAAATATCTATAGGAATTATCTCCAGGGCGGTTGCCCTGGTGCAGCAAATCTGGCAAGAATCTTGTGACATGACTAACAAATATATCAAGAAGGGGGGAATCTTTCTCAGCTCAAGGGCCACATTCCAACATAGGCAAGCTTCCAGGGGCCACATACCTGTAGTGGGAATGGCCAGAGGCAAGAAGTGGCTGGAGCAACAGGTGAAATTCTTCCTTTTGTACGTAAACTACATTCGACCCATGTTTAATCCAGAGGTTTCTGTACACACTTCTCTCCATCTGGCAAGTAGAAGAAGAAGAAGAGTTTGGATTTGATATCCCGCTTTATCACTACCCGAAGGAGTCTAACATTCTCCTTTCCCTTTCTTCCCCACAACAAACACTCTATGAGGTGAGTGGGGCTGAGAGACTTCAGAGAAGTGTGAGTAGCCCAAGGTCACCCAGCAGCTGCATGTGGAGGAGCGGGGAATCGAACCTGGTTCACCAGATTACAAGTCTACCGCTCTTAACCACTACACCACCTCAAGTTAGAGGCATGATCACATTTCAAGGACAAGCAGGTGGAGCCAGGCCCATGAGGGGTGTGGCATGGCCTGGGGAGAGTCCCAAGGGGCAGGCAGAGAAGCCTGGATGGCAGCATTTGGCTTCAGAGCCTGAAATTCCCCAGCCCTGAAATATATCAGAGCATAAGGTTTTGTGCACCTTGTGTCCATAAACTACTGAATTCTGATTCATCAAGTGGTTCAGTGTTTGCACCTGTAGCTGCTGCAGGAGAGGGACAGTGAGCAACATCTCAAGAGGGTTGTTTCTTGGACTAAGGTGAAACTGCGAAGCTCCCTTGTTATTTTTGCAATTGAATGTAGCACGTTATTAACATCAATAGTATTGCAATGTGGGGTGGGGTTCTTTTTTGCACATTATTAAATTTGCTATTGTTTTGCTATGTTATTACGAAGTTGTTTTTGCAATGTTTGTTTGAAATGCTTTCCTGTTTCCTTTGAGCATGATTTGGTTTTGTGGGAAAGCAGCATGCAAATATTATGAAGAGATGAATGTGGCTAGAATTGGGATAAAGCGTTGTGTGTCGGAGTGTCACTTGGCTGGCAGTAAGACTTCCATCAGTGGAGTGGAGAGGGAAGCAGTTTTCAGTGATTCCTCCCTGCTGGAGCCCCTCTCCCCTAAAACTGCTCCAGAGGGATAACCATGCATCTGATAATACTTCATGCATCTGATGAAATGGACTTTAGTCCATAAAAGCTTGGGCCATAATAAATGTGTTCTTGCTTCTGCTGCAACAGACATAACACAGCTCCCTTTCTGGAAGGGGTGCAATAAGTCTTTTCCCTGAAATCTCTTGCCACCCACACAGAGCCAGGGGCTCCTCTTTTCCAGAACATTACCTTCTGTTAGCGGTTACATGTTGTAAATTTGTCTGTGTTGTGTTTTTGTCTTTATATTTCGGAAATGAAAAATAAAAAAGAAGGCTCTTGTTTATATCTGTTGAAACACATTCCTTAGTCACCTTGTGCGAGAGGCAGGAAAGGGAGGAACTCCCAGGGCATTCAGAAATGCATTCTGTAGTCAACACAGGACATGTCAGGTGGAAGCTTACAGGTGGAACTGGCTCTGGGGACTTTCGTTCACTTGGTACAAAGAGGATTCCCAGCAAAGAGGAAAGGGTTCTGCATTGCTTCAGAGGCTGATCATGGATCAAAGAGGTACCAACAATTTAGTCTGCATTTTATATAAGGGGAGGAATGGGGCACTCATTATTTTTTTTATGGTGGACAGGATCAGATGAATCGGGGCTGAGATGTCCACACTTGCTCAGCATAAATGATCAGCATTGGGACTGGCTTGAGCTAGAAGAGCTTGGGAAATCAGAAGTATAAGGAAAATACAAAATCCAATAACAAATTATTATTAGAAGTGGGAGCCAATGGCAGCCTTGGAGATGATGAAGCAATAGATGATGCTTTTGCTTTTGGGAATGACCAAAGGCTCAGCTTCTGCTACTGGGCTTAAATGACTCTAGGATCTTGTTTCCAGTGAGGATGCAGCAGTTGGATCCCAGCAACCAAGATCATTTTTCAGTACCTCTGGTACTTATGGGTATAAAAAGGGCCTTTCAGTTATGTGTTTTTCTAAAATGTCCACCATGTTCCAGTTCCTTTCCAGTGTGGGGGGACATCCCCCACCATCAGGGCTACATTCCATTAGTCTAGCCTACAGAATACTGAAATGGACAATACACATCTCAAGAAACAGCATTATCTGAAAATGATGCAACAAACCCAGGCACGGGCCTGCATTAAACAGACATGTTGTTAGAAGACTGTTGTGCACACATACCTATGGGACAAGCTCTTAGGAGTTCACAAAAGCACATAGCAATTCAAAGCTATCAGGCTGTCCACTTCAGTACTGAGTGCTTGAATAGACCCTGTAGAAAGTTGAGGCTAATGCATAATTGAAACAGCGCAACGATGCTTTGATGCTCTTAATATGTCTAAATCTGCCTTTTCACTAGGTACGGAAGGTCAAATTCTGGCAGAGCCAGTATTCATCATTAGCAGGAATTGTGGCTATTCTCTACTGTTTTTTGAACTTTCTGCACTGCTTCAATCACTTTGCCCTCACTTACACCTGCTTTCAATTGCCATTGCTTGCTCTCAGTGGCACGTTGAGTGGTGCAAGTGAACTCTCCATAGCATTGCAATTAATACCCCATTCACTATGTGAGTCCTGTTTGGGTGGGAACACTCATTTGATTAATGCAGAGACAGCAGAGGCAGCAGCTGGGGTAGAAAAAGTGCCAGCACTGCAGCAGCCAAGAAAAACAATTGTGCTCAACGCAATTATTGAAAGGTAAATCTTTGTACAGAGTTGTCTTTGAGGAGGGGGGAATATCTGACCAGCTCAAATGGCTAATACCTGCTCTGAAGTGGAGTCTATTCCCTACAGCTCAAATATTACATCCGGAAAAGCATGATCAGAATCTTCTGCAAATCACATGGAACATAAAGGATGTTGGTTTTTGTTGGCTGAAGAATTGCAACTATCAAATACTTGTCTACTCAGTAAGGTGGCTGGTTTTGTATTGCCTCAAAAAAAAAAAAAGGATTATTACCACCAAAAGAAAAGCAGACAAAAGATGTCACCAATTTGCAAGAAATTTGCACATGGCACTTTAGAAATAACCAGGACTTTTTGGGCAAACTTAGAAATAACCCGGGCTTTTTGTCAGCTGAAGGTCACCAGAACTCAGTTCTGGAACCTCTCAGGTGGGTGCCATTATAGGAGAACAAGGGAGGTGTTCATAGTGAGTTCCAGCATCCTCTTTGCTAGAAAAATAGCACTGGAAATAATAACTGTCACCTCTCTCTCACCATACTGATGGTCAATTGCCAGGCTCCTGCTCGTGAGAGGAGGGCTTCAAACAGAGGGCTGTCCTCTGCAAAGTAGGACACATGGCCACCCTACTACTCAGAAGTAAATCCCATTTGTTCATCTAGGGGCATGCTACTCACTATGGATGTGAGAAGTCCTGGATTCAATTTCCAGACAAACCCAGACACTAGGGGAAAAGAAGGACCCCACGTTAGAGGAAGCAGCCAACACTCAGTAGTAGAGCACATCCTTCGCCTGCAGAAATTTAAGCCCTGGCATCTCTAGTTAAAAGAGACTATTCTCTAATGGAGCCTCTGGGTAGCTGCTGACGCCAGCCAAGATAGACAATACTGGGCAAAAGGACTGAGAGTCTGAGCTGGTATAAGGGATGCAAATGGGTCTGACTTCCCCATCAGTGTGTTTAGGATTGCAGCCTTAGGCTCTAATCCATGCTCAGCAATTAAACTTTGTGGGTGGCCTTGTGACTGTCGTTCCTGGTTTAATGCACCACACAGAGATTGTTATGGAGCTGCAGCGGAATTGCACTGTACCAGTGCTCTAGAAATGAGGAATTGGTTGTAACCCAGAGCACAGTTTGACTGCTTAAATCTCAGAGACTTTGCTGGGATTTAGGAAGCCTTAATGTAGGCAAGATTGCAGCCAGAAACGTTAACATGAAAATATGCAAATCTCATTCACATCTTCAGCACTGCTTAGTTCTTTCAGAAAATCAAGTTAAGAGGCCTATTTTGTTGCATTGGGATAGAGTACTTTAAGTATAAGTATAAAGACTATTAAATTGGAGTGTGTGTACACACACACAAACTATAGCTGTCAAGCGTCCCATATTTGGCGGGACAGTCCCTTATCCCAGCGCCATGTCCCGCTGCTGTCCCTTATTGATGATGTCCCTTAAATAAGCTACTGAACGTAATGGGGCCCTTTCTATGTCCAGCTGTCCTTTGTCAACAACAAATTGTTGCTGGTTTTTGTTGTTGAATATATGCTATATGGTAATTTATGGACCTAATAGGTATCTAAAGCCATTTGCATGCAACAAAATATGTATTTTATCAAAGTAATTGTTGATCCCTTATTTTGGCTGCTGATCCCTTATTTTCGAGGCTGCTGGTCCCTTATTTTCAAATCTGTAAGTTGACAGCTATGACACACACAGGCAAACCAGCATGTCCCCATGATTGAGGGGGCTTGCGCCATGTGACTTGCTCACATCATGTGCACACGCCACAAGGCCCGCTTGCGTGTTGTGTGCACACTGTGGCTTGTGCAGCATATGTGAGCAAAGTGAGCATGTTGGGTGGTGTGAACGCACAGCGTGTACATGTTGCTGTGGGGCCCCTCCTTGAAAATTTTGAGGGGGCCCAAGGCATCTCTAGGTAAGGCTGGGAAAGATCCCTGCCTGAAAGTTCCAAAGAGCCTCTGCCGGTCCGTGTAGACAATACTAAGATAGATGGACCAGTCATCTGACTCAGTATAAGGCAACTTCCTAGGTTCCTATGCTTTTTCATTCCAGGAATACTGTTTTTATCCGTATGCAAATGGATGGGAACGGTGTGCTAGATTCACCAGCTAAAACTCACATGAATATTCAGTTAATCAAGTTGCCGCCCTATAAATTATGCAAATCAATATATGCATCCTTTACATACTGTCAGTTTACCTGCTTCCTTCTATTTCAGACATAACGTCTGAGCTCTGGACCCATACAGTGGTACCTCGGATTACATACGCTTCAGGTTACATATGCTTCAGGTTACAGACTCCGCTAACCCAGAAATAGTGCTTCAGGTTAAGAACTTTGCTTCAGGATGAGAACAGAAATCTTACTCTGGCGGCGCGATGGCAGCAGGAGGCCCCATTAGCTAAAGTGGTGCTTCAGGTTAAGAACAGTTTCAGGTTAAGAACGGACCTCCGGAACGAATTAAGTACTTAACCTGAGGTACCACTGTACTTTCTACCCCATCCTCCCCTTGTTCTCTAGCTTTGGCACTCCTGTCCTGGACTTTTAAAGCCATGTTTCCACCTTATATCTGAAATGGGGAACTGTGGCTTAATGTCACTTTGCTAACCAAGATCTGAAACCACATTTGAACAGCAGTCTGGTTTAGAAAAGGGGGGGGGGGAGCAGCCTGGTATTACTAATTTACTTTCAGATTTTCTATAGGCATCTGGTTGGCCACTGTGAGAACAGGTCTAGGGGACTGATCTAGCACTCTTATGCTTCTCTCTCTCTCTCTCTCTCTCTCTCTCTCTCTTCTTTCAGGATTTATATCCTGACCCTTCAGCCAAAAAGGCTTTCAATGAAGGCTCCAAAAATGGGAAGTAAGTACTTAAAATATCGAGACAAGAAACCCTTGCTAATCTTCTCCAAATAACTCAGGAGATCAAGGTAGACATTTTGCATTGGTATACCCAGGAACCAGTTTAATCCTATAAACGAATAACCTGCAATATTATGCAAGAACACTGCAAAAAAAAAAAACCGCCACAAAATAATTCACTTAAAAAAAAAACAAACAGAAAATAGAATGCAGAGTACTTAAGAGCAAAGAATAAAGTGGGAGATGAAAAAGACTGAATGCCGCCAGAACACTCATATATAAGTCTTAGCAGTTAGGAATGGACAAATGTTCCAGTCATGTTTGTCTCAGTTTCTCATTTCTCCAGTCTTAATTCCATCGGCCACCTTTCCTCACTAGTTTGTGATTTTGTTTTATTTTTTTAAAGTCCTCACAAATTTTCATCAGGATTTTAGTGGTCATATCTCCTAGCATAGAGATTTTTGCAAGCAATTTCCCCTAATGTTGGGGCTGCCATACGTCTAGGATCTTCCAGGCATACCGGAATTTGTTTCCGGATTTTCACTTTTTGAAATATGGCAACCGTACCCTTAATGCAATGCTTTTTTCTGTGCCCCCCACCGCACAAATATAATCTTTTAAAATGCTCCCTTTCCCCTTATATAAATATTTGCACTCACATATTTGTTTGGCCAGAGAGCTGCATTGCAAAAGCCAAGAAAGTTCATGTTTCGAAGGATAGCTGTGTTTTTGGCCCATGCCTCGTTTCAGGAAGTGAGGAGATTCACAATAAAATTAAAACTAGACTGAATTTATCCCCAATTACAGCGCATGGAATTTTGGTTGCCATGTGCACATTAGCCCTGGCAAGGAGGACCTGAGATTTAGTACTTTTAATAGCATTTATGTTACAGAACCATTTCCCCCCTCCCATAAAGCAAGCAGGCCCAGCAGAAAACGCTACTTCCAGCACACTCTGTGCTGAATTAACATTTACGCAAGATAATCAAGCCTTGCAACTTTCCTGCACAGGGGCCCGCAATAAAGGGATTTTACATTTATCATCCCAGTTAATTGTAATGAGCCTAAAACTAATGAGCCGTACCTCTAAACTCCATTTAAGACAATAGCTAATTGCTTCATTTTAATAAGTGTTGACAGAAAAGAGGGCAGAACAATGACTGAACGCTCAATTACTACACAGGCCAGAAAATGAAGATACAGAATATTAGTGATGTATACACACAATCTGAAACGCAATTAGAACCCAGAAAGTAAGAATGGGGAATACTTTGGGAATGAGCCCGCAAATAGACTTGTCTGCTTTCTGAACATATCGCTGGGGTTGAGAGGAGGAGGCAGGTCCCTTAATGAGGGAGTGTGCAACAGGGGAAAGGGTTTTGGCTCAGCAACACAGTGCAAGCTCAATTCCTGGTGTCTCCAGTTAGAGATGCAAAAGACGCCTCTTTTAAACCCCAGAGAGCTACTGCCAGTTTGTGCAGACAGTACTGAGTTAGATGGACCAATGATCTGACTAGACATGGGGCAGCTTACTATGCTACTGTGCCGAGCTCAAGGTGTTACAATCAGTATAAAGGTAAAGGGACCCCTGATCATTAGGTCCAGTCATGGCCGACTCTGGGGTTGTGGCGCTCATCTCGCTTTATTGGCCGAGAGAGCCGGCGTTTGTCCGCAGACAGCTTCCAGGTCATGTGGCCAGCATGACTAAGCCACTTCTGGCAAAACCAGAGCAGCACACAGAAACACCGTTTACCTTCCCGCCGGAGCGGTACCTATTTATCTACTTGCACTTTGACGTGCTTTTGAACTGCTAGGTTGGCAGGAGCAGGGGCCGAGCAACGGGAGCTCACCCCGTCGCGGGGATTTGAACCGCCGACCTTCTAATCCGCAAGTCCTAGGCTCTATGGTTTAACCCACAGCGCCACCCGCATCCCTTTACAATCAGTATATAAAGCCCTTAACAGCTTGGGACCAGTTGACCTGCAAGATTGCCTTGCAGGTTGGCACGATTGCAGGTGACACGGAACACTCATTCTGAATTCATAAGAAACTGATATTTTAGTGTGGCTGCACCAACTGAAACCCACTACCTTCTGACGTCAGGCAGGCTCCTTCACTGTACTCTTTTGCGGCCAGCTGAAGGCACTTTCCAAACATGCAGAATGTTGCCGTATGTTTTCATACATGCAATGTAGAATCATACAACTGTAGAATTGGAAGGGACTGTCAGTATTTTCATCCTTCCCATTGCAAGGATCACCAGATTATGTTTGTTTCACTTTCTGTCTGAGAGAAAGGTGGGAGCAGAAGCTACTCTTCCAGACTTCTGTCTCTAGTACTGTGTGGTTCTTCTTTGAGCTGTCTAGAGACAAGATGGCAGTATGAGAGAGCTGTTTCTCTCGTACATGTTTGTTATGTTCTTTTATTTGTTTAATTAGAAGAAATAAATTAGGTATGCAACAAAACCTCCAAAGCTTTGCCACCATTACTCTTCTGCATTTGAGGTGCTCACATGAGCAAATGTGAGTCCACTGCACCAAGACCTATTCCTCCGGAATGCTGTGTTGCTGTTCCTACGTTCCTGTGATCGGAAGATCGAAGAAGGTGCTCCCGACACCCAACCCATGCAGGCGCTGACGACGTGGGCTGTACAAGGGTGTACAGAAAGGGACCACGGGGGTCATCTAGTCCAACCCCCTATAACACAGGAATCTTCTGTCCAATGTGGGGCTTGAACCATGACCCTGAGATAAAGAGTCTCGTGCTCTGCTGGCTGAACCGCCCCAGTTTTTAGCTTATTGTTGATTTTAATTATTTTTGATTGTTTTGAATAGCTTTTTTAAAACTTTTTTTTACTCGAGTTTATTGAGGTTTTTTTTGTAAACTGTTTTGGGTGGTGTATAAACTTTTGTGAAATAAATAAACAAAAAATGTTCTTAAAAGAGCAAATCATGGCATGGAATGAGTGGTGTGGTTGCTGATTCTGATGCATCTCCACTTCATACGGCTCCTCTAATGTGAAGCCTGATTTATTCATGGGAAATACTCCACAGCGATTTCCCCCTATCCCTCTCCTAGGATACCTGGATGGAAGAGTGGCTCCTTTGCAATGCGAGAGATGTATGATCTGAGCCCAACTGTCAAGGGTGCTTCTCAGTCAAAGGAATGTGCACAGCAGATAGTTAAGTATTTACTGTCAAAAACAACACAGCCGCTTCTACAGCTCTGGGTATCTACACGCATCAATCTGACAGCTAGGCAGCTATTCCCAGGTCTATGCTCTATGGAGCAGTTGCAGCAACAGGGGACCATTCCTCTCCCCTCCCCCAGTTTACTCGATGGGCAGCTAGAGACTGCATCTGCGTGGAAACTTCCTCTGCTCCTCCCTTTTCAGTTCCCTCCTAGATCTGGGATACAGTGATGCAGAAGGTAGGGGAAGCACCTGACCCTTCACTTGCCCAAACTGCCTCTTCCTCCTCTTCTTCCAACCCATCCTCTGCTCCACCCTCTAGCTCTGACCTTCCCCTGCCTCCAACTCTTGCTTCTTGGCTGGTACAGGCCCCTACAAACCACTGCCACCCTTCCTCTGAGTCCGACTCCTGGCTCCCTTTCCCCAGTACATATTCCTCAGCATCCTGCCAGCCCCTGACGTCAAAGGGGAAGGCAGGCCAATGGTGCCTCTCCCATCAAATTTTGCCCATTCTGAGGTGGGACGGAGCCATGGGGACAAGGCCAACCATTGGACTCTGGTAACAGAATAAAACAGATGTATGGAAGTGGAGAGCTGGACCATAAAGAAGGCTGATCACCGAAGAATTGATGCTTTTGAATTATGCTGCTGGAGGAGACTCTTGAGAGTCCCATGGACTGCAAGAAGATCAAACGTATCCATTCTAAAGGAAATCAGCCCTGAGTGCTCAATGGAAGGACAGATCATGAAGCTGAGGCTCCAATACTTTGGCCACCTCATGAGAAGAGAAGACTCCCTGGAAAAGATCCTGATGGGAAAGATGGAGGGCACAAGAAGAAGGGGACGACAGAGGACGAGATGGTTGGACAGTGTTCTTGAAGCTACCAGCATGAGTTTGGCCAAACTGCGGGAGACAGTGGAAGACAGGAGTGCCTGGCGTGCTCTGGTCCATGGGGTCACGAAGAGTCGGACACGTCTAAACGACTAAACAACAACAACAACAGAAGGCTTCGGGGCAACCTGGATAAAATAGTGAAACACGACCCCTATGCCTGCCTGCTCACAATCTCTCCCTTCTGTTTCTGGGGTCTCCACACTGCTGATCTCCCTTGTCCAGTGGATTGTGAACCCTCCTCCATGTGTGTGCTTTTCACAGTCGCATGACTGCCAGCTGTCCCCTCTTGGGAACCTCCAGTTGCACACTTCTCCCACACGCAACTTGCAGAACTGATGTATCTTTATTTGCAGTGATTCCACCCTCTTCTTCTTCTGCAATGCAGGCTTCTCTTTGAAGTAGAGCTTACTGAATGGAATGTGTTTCCCGTGTCTGTTATTGAGCCTACAGGGACTGTTAGTTTCGAGGTGTTTCATCAATACTGATTGAGGAGAAAGCCCTTCAACTTTATTAACCATGCAGTCTTGGGGCAATTAAGATATAATAATAAAAAAACACCTACACACAACTCCCTTTCAATTGCTTTGTTCATCATTCACAAGTGTTTCAGGTTCCTGCTTCCTGCTTGTGCCAAACTGTGAACTGTATTCTTTCCAAGGTGTTGCGAAGCAAGAGTTTTTCTAGGTGACCTAGAACTGGTGCCTTTATACAGCAGTGCTGCTTATTATAATCTCCTTTGATTTAGTGTATATTAGGTGAGCTCAATGGTGTGCTTTCGTTAATAAAGCTTCAGAAACTCTCTTCAGCACTAGACAGGATGTGATTTCATTGCCTCCTCCCAATTCTCTTTTCTTGGCAATCAGCAGCTGTGCATATTTGTTCTGTGATTCCTGTTTTCAATACTTCGTTCCAGGACCAATTGCACTGTGTTTATGCATCCTTAATTATATTTGCCATATAAGATATGACTTTGGAGTCCCATTTTGAAGCTCATACTCATCTGCTGGGCCCCAGCATAATTTACAAACCTGGAAAAACCTGGATTCCAGCATCATTGTACATGATGGTGGCACGAACAATGGCAACAAAGGTGTCCGTCCCGTGTTGATTCCTTGTAAACATTTATCAGCCAGTCTTTTACAAGCAGGCACAGAAGGGATTTTCTGTTTCAAGCTCTAGCTAATTTTTAAAGATCTCTGCTAATGCGTTTCAGCTCCATGACTGTGTCTTCTTATTATTTTAATTAGCAACTGAAGAATTGTGTTGGGAGCTTAATGGATATCTGAGTACTTTGTAGTTTTCCATTTCATTACAGAAGCATTTGAAATTAGGGGCTGCGTAGAATATTCTCCCCTTTTGAGTTGAAAATACGCTGCTGAGGAGTTAAAATGTTCACCAAAAATTCCTTCCCTAATGGTGGTGATATCTGCTTATTTGTTTGTTTTTGCCTGTTTTCCACTATTTGTTTGTCCTCCTTATAGGGTTGCCATATGTCCTCTTTTTCCAGGACACACCCTCTCTTTCATGGGTATGTAAAATGAGAGTTGTCATAGAGATCTATAGTTAAAAGTAGAAGTCGGCAAATGTGTCCTCTTTTTTGCTCTTCAAAATATTGCAACCCCACCTCTAGTTATGTTGCTTCCTGATGTGATCCCAGGCAATCAGGGAACACAGAGGAAGTGATGATATCACAGCACTGCATAGCAGATTGGGCTGTGTAAAAAGCCAGTGTGGTGTAGTGGTTAAGAGTGGTGGACTGGTAATCTGGTGAACCGGGTTCGCGTCCCCGCTCCTCCACATGCAGCTGCTGGGTGACCTTGGGTTAGTCACACTTCTGTGAAATCTCTCAGCCTCACTCACCTCACAGAGTGTTTGTTGTGGGGGAGGAAGGGAACGGAGAATGTTAGCCACTTTGAGACTCCTTCGGGTAGTGATAAAGCGCGATATCAAATCCAAACTCCTCTTCTACTTGCCAGATGGAGAGAAGTGTGTACAGAAACCTCTGGATTAAACATAGCCGCTTTGAGACTCCTTCGCGTAGTGATAATGCGGGATATCAAATCCAAACTCTTCTCCTCTTCTTCTTCTTTACTGAGGGACAACAAAGCTGACTGAGAGTGTGAGGGCAGTCCTGGTCACATGAAGGATCCCAACTAATCAGACCACTGAGTGTCCTCATCACATTTCACAATCTTTCACAGGACTTTGCAGAGGTAGCACTGGGTTTTGCAGATCCTTGTCACAGTGGAGAAAACTATCCAGGGAAGCAAGGTTTTTAATGCTGTGAGCCTCTCCATCATAGGATCAGGTTGTGTATACAGTCGTACAGCCGTACCTTGGAAGCCAAACGGAATCCGTTCTGGAAGTCGAATGGAACTTCCAAAACGTTCGGAAACCAAAGCACGGCTTCTGATTGGCTGCAGGAAGCTCCTGTAGCCATTTGGAAGCCACGGAAGCCCCGTCAGACGTTCGGCTTCCAAAAATAGTTCGCAAACCAGAACAGTTACTTCCGGGTTTGCGGCATTTGGGAGCCAAAACATTCGAGAACTAACCTGTTTGACTTCCAAGGTATGACTGTATATGTAAATAAACCATGTATCCTGAAGACACCACAGCCTCCATTGTCTCTCATGCTGAAGGAAACATGGTAAGCGCCTGGAACCTATGGAATCTCACAATGCTCAGAGATAGGGGTGGCATGCAACAATATAGAAAAATATATTGTCCAGACATTTGTGGTGTCCATTAAAAAAAAAAAAGCATTAGTGTCCCCGACCCACCGCAATGTATGGTCAAATGGCCAAACATTTCATTTCTGGAGATTAATGATCTTCTTATCTTCAGAGAGACTGTCCTTAATGATCCTATAATCTGCTTTAGGCTGCAGTCATATGCAGACTTATCAGGAAGTTAGCCCTAATAAACCCAGTAGGATTTACAGCTCATGGTAGTCCTCTCTGGGGTAGCCTCATGGTAGTCCTAGCAGCCCCCACCAGCATGGCCAATGGCCACGGATGGTGGTGGTGGGGTTGTAATTCAACAACATCTGGAGGAAACCCTATTGGCTAGCCCTGCTATATATACAACTTCACAGTTGGTGTCTCTGCAAGTGTGAGTTGTTTCCTTACTCCCCAGAACCTAGCTTGTGATGGATAAGAATATGAAAGTAACAGACGAGAAGCGGATAAAATACAGAGAGTAATTACAAGTGCTTGAGGTGGTAAGCTGTTTTCTGAAGCATTCAAGCAGTAAAATAGTAAATTCTAGAAAAAGCAAAATAAATTTAGAAGAAAACTATAAAGTTTGCATCCTGAATTTTGTAATATGATTAGCCAAGATGTACAACCAAGCTGGCTAAAGTACTGACCCCAGCCTTTACTAATTAAAACACACACACACACACACACACACACACACACGGAGTGGAGAATCAGTGGTCTGTCAGACTCAATCCCCTTTCATTCTTGACTACTGAACATGCCGGCTGGAAGTTCAAAAACATCTGGAGAGTCCCTATCCTGGCCCTAAAGTAAAAGATTACATTTTTCTTTTTCTAGGTAGAAAACAATGAACAACTTCAGAGCTTAGCATCTCACAAATGAAAACACCCACAGGAGCCTTCCACATTTTTCCTTGCAAGCTTTGTTTATGCAGATGAATCACACATAACATTTACGTTTAATAAACTATGCTGATTCTAACACCTGCATTTCTTCTCTATTTTGAAACACAGAAATCTGCGGTGGAGGATTGGATTAAAAAGGTGGGGGGAACTTAACTAAAAACAAAGCCGACTCTCTGGCATATGCTGTGATGATGCACAGAGAAGAATGTGATGATATTTTGAGAATAACACCGACAAGTGGAGTGGAGTTCTCTAGGTGTGACACGAAGAATTCATTATTGCTACCAGTGGGATAAAGGGTGATTGTGACTATTTCTATAGGAATGTTGCCATGTCCCCAGAGTTCCATTCTGCATCCAGTGCCACATTCTGTGATTTTTCTGTGCTTGCACAGGATTGTGACAGTCAAGCACAACTTTCATTATAAATGTCTGGGTGAGCTCTGTCAAGAAGACCGGGAGCGCAGTTGGTGAAGAAAGGAATACACTAAGAATATTAACTTCTGAGGGCTTCCAGGATTAACTCAGAATCCACCTTACCAGCAGAAATGGATTTTTTATAATCCAAACAAACAACAGCAACTGTCAAGTATATTTACTTAAGATGAAATAACCCAAGCTCATAAATAAATAGGTAATTCTACGGAGATAATCATAACCCTGCCATTGCAGAGAATCGCTCGTGAACTTTGCTTCAACTGTGGCATTAGACAAGATTCTCTGTAGGGTTAGCCACAACAACAAGGACACTTATTTTCATGCAAATGGGTCTATCTTTCACTAGAACAACCTACTCAGAACAGATGGAAGTAATTTTCTTCCCAAGGAAATATTTGAGGAGGCTTAGGGGACAAGGTATCAATTTGTTTATTTATTACCTCCCAAAGCCAAGGCAGGCTTTTTCACACACAAAGGAACTGAAATGCATCGCCAGAAGCATTGGCCTGCCCTTGGTTTTTATAGGTTAGGAAGAACAACTCAGTGGCTAAGGGTGGGGACACCCACAAATGTTAAAATGCTTTTGCTGCCTTCCACAGACGCATTGTGGTCAGGGCCCTTACCACAATCACAAACAGAGATGGGGAGCCTTGTCAGCTTGAGGGCCATATTCCTGCATGGCCATGATTCCAAGGGCCAGATGATGGTTGCAAAAAGCAATCAGGGCAACATCAGCACACACTCTGACACACACACATCCATACACATGTACACATCACACACACTTTCTACTATCAAATGCACCTGGGAATAATATACTGTATTTTTTGCTCTATAAGACGCACCAGACCACAAGACGCACCTAGTTTTTGGAGGAGGAAAACAAGAAAAAATATATTCTGAATCTCAGAAGCCAGAACAGCAAGAGGGATCACTGTGCAGTGAAAGCAGCAATCCCTCTTGCTGTTCTGGCTTCTGTGATAGCTGCGCAGCCTGCATTCGCTCCATAAGACGCACACACATTTCCCCTTACTTTTTTTGGGGGGGGGAAGTGAGTCTTATAGAGCAAAAAATACAGTATTCAAGTCTTTATTATGTGTTTGCTATCTTATTGGCAGTATCAGTCTCACAGTTTCTTTCTGGCCTTCCAAGAACCCATAGGGTTCATATAGACAAATGCCACTAATGTCCTCCCCACTGCTTCATTCATCACGATTGTTTTACTTCCTTGGTAAATCAGAGAAGTGAGAACTCTACCTGGTGCACAGTACACAGTACTAAGTTTCATCAATAGTCTACCCCTGGGAGAATCATTGATTGATGACATGTCTATTACCCACCCATGGTCATTGATTGTGACTAATTTTGGGAGAGTTTGCAGCAGGCTGGTGAAAAAGGAATCAGAGTTTCTGCATGGTGAGTGATGGCTTAGATTAATGGCTTGTCATGCAAAGCATCTTTCTCCCACGCCTTTAGCCAAATTTAAAGCAGCAATAAAACAATTGGCAGCATATCTGGAGTTCTTATGCAACTTTATCAATCAACACTAATGTAAAGGAAGCATAACACAAACTCTCAGTAGGCTGTCCATTATCCCGCTGCAAGGCTTCATCTAATACTACCAAACAATAGTCAGAATTTGGGAAAGGGGTGTGTTCATATTATTCAATTTTGGTAGGGATGTCAAACAGTGCAGGGATTTTGAAACATGGGGTTGGATCCAAGCTAAGCTAAGGTTTCACTGAAATCAATGGGGCAAGTTAGTCAAGACTAAATGAAGTCCCATTGATTTCAATGGAAGTTAACTTTGCTAAACTTAGTCTGAATTGCAGATTGCAAGAATAAATAAATAAATATGTGAACTTTTTCCACACTTGAGAGATCACTAGATGAGCAGCAACCAACAGATATAGAAATAATTGTTGAGAAGTAAGGTCAACATTGGCACCATCAAAAATGTATAAGATGCTTAGCATCAAAGGTCATCAGTTTGCCAACAATAATGTCAATCTCCATTACAACCCACTTCCAAGAACTTGCATACATAATTACACACCCATCACATCTGCTGATATGCTCCTTGTCCCTTACAATCCCATGAGCATGAAAACCAAAGTTTTATTTAATTCTGTTTCCTGGTGGATCTCTAGGGTAGGCTTTTAAGTATTGTTTTGTTTGTACTGTGTTATGTATTGGTTGGGGGGGGGGGTTAAAATCATAAACCACACTGTGATCTTCGGGTGAAGGACAGTATAGAAATTTAATAAATAAATAAAATAACTTATGTCCATTTATTTCAGTGAGTCTTTATCACGCCTAATTGTATTCAAGATAAGCACAATGACAATTCAGAAGAGTAGTCACGTTAGGAGGAGTCAATTACCATAGCAAGACTAGGATGATTGTGCTGTCACCAGCTGCTTCAACTGAGAATGGTCACCATGCTTATCTGACTCCAGACTGTAGTCATGCTGTCCCTGCAAGTTGTTGTTCCTTTCATCAATAGTTTTATCCAGATCTATAGTGATACATCCACAGTAAAGTGAGAGATTGTTTCAAAGAGAAATAAATCTCACCCGCACTATAAGATCAGGAAATCTCAGTCCTGTAACAGAGATGGTTAAAGGCACTTTTGAGTGACACTGAGCTGTGCTTGAGAAATCCCAGCTAAGCCATTTGCATCCTTCCCTGTTTGCCTGGCTTCACTCCTAATGCTAATCCTTGGAAGGATTCAGAGACAGCCGTGGGGAAATAGAGGATGAGCCCTTGTAAGCAAAGCTCGTTTAGATCCTAAAGACAAGCAACTCATATTGAATCTTACCTGCCTGGCTGACCCATTCGTTTTGATGCCAGCTTTGCCTTTTGCCTTCTGCGTGCGCAGAAAGAGAAAGTGTCTTCAGCAAACAGGATTTACCAAGCAAGTCGTTTCCATAAAGACAAATACAGGAAGTGTAGAACTACCCTCAAGACATTTTGCTGCCTGAAGTGGAGCAGCAAATGACCCTTCAGCAAACTGGTCAAGTGATTTTTGCACCTGAGGCAGAAAGACTCTTCCCCTCCCTGGCAGTAAAAATAAATAAATAAAATAAAGTACTCTTTTGTGACAATGCTGGGTCTTTTGTGACACTGCTGGGTGAATCAGCAGCTTGCAACAGCTTCCTTCTTCTGTCCAACAGTAGGGCCGGCCCTCTGAGAATGACTAAGCCAGGCATAGGCAAACTTAGCCCTCCAGATGTTTTGAGACTACAATTCCCATCATCCCTGACCACTGGTCCTGTTAGCTAGGGATGATGGGAGTTGTAGTCCCAAAACATCTGGAGGGCCGAGTTTGCCTATGAATGGACTAAGCTTTTGGGAACTGACTGCTTTTAAGTAAAGGAGTGGTGTCATGCTGATTTTATTGTAATTATTTGTATGTTTTAAAGTAACATGTTATATATGCATTTAGTTTTAAATAGATCAGTAGAATAATAATGACAATGACGGTGATGGTGATAGTAGTAGTAGTAGTAGTAGTAGTAGTCTCAAGCCCTGAAAACTTTATATCTCCTGAGTGGATTCCATGTTCATCCTGTACTTTCCTGAATGATCAGCATCTGACTACCCTGGGACCATAATTCTCTATCATATGCTATGTGAAAGCACATGAGTCTGTCACCTTGCTGCCCTGACCATTACGTCCAGTCGCAGATGACTCTGGGGTTGCGGCGCTCATCTCGCTCTATAGGCCGAGGGAGCTGGTGTACAGCTTCCGGGTCATGTGGCCAGCATGACTAAGCCGCTTCTGGTGAACCACAGCAGCGCACAGAAATGCCGTTTCTTTTAGCCTAAATAGCCGAAATCAAGGAGGTCTCCTAGGAAGCAGCTGCAACTGGGGGCAGGTAATCAGGAGCCCTTAGAGGACTGGGTCATTCTGTACCAGACCGTAACAGATGGGAAGGATGACATTCAGTTTTTCCCAGAGAGCTTGAGGAGGATTTATAGTATCAAAGCGCATAAACATTATTTCACTCAGCTCATGCTCTCCTGCACAGCTGGCTTTAGCAGCAGTGCAATGACATTGGTGTGCTTTTCTTCTCTGGCTTCAGTTTGATTCATTGTTGCATTATTCTTGGATAGTCCGTTAATCTGTGAGAAATAATCTTCAGAAACTGGTAGAGATTCAGAAACCCTGATTTAAAACTCTGTATGCATGTGCGATCCCAGATAGTTAATAGGAGGGTTTTACATCTGACTCGAATGAATGCTGAGCTGAACTGGGAGTTTTGTCAGTGGCAAAGCAGGATGTCCGCACTGTGGAAGGACGTGTGGATCCAGAACTGGCCTCCACAGTCACCTACGGACTCAATGTTAAAACCGTGTTTTTGGAAGACACTCTTACTTGGCTATGAGTGATCGAAGAAGAAGAAGAAGAAGAAGAAGAAGAAGAAGAAGAAGAAGAAGAAGAAGAAGAAGAAGAAGCTGTATGAGGTGGCAGAAGTCAAACTGGGGACCTCTAAACCATTTTGTAGTGCCTTGGGGTTCTAGATGCACCCATAAATCTGCAAAAGTATCTCCTGAAAGTAGAACTAAATTTCTCAGAACTTACACCAGAGCGGAGGGATGGGGGAGGAAGAACAAATACAGTACCAAGGTGGAGAGAGGGCAGGGGGAGAAACCTCTTGCAAATTCCTTTTGAGGCTCCCCCACCCTGCCAAATCAACTTTAAAGATGCCTGGCACAAAAGTCCCTGGAGCTTTTTGTCTGCAATCTTTGCAGTTTTCTCACCATTTGCCCACAAAACACAAGCTTCCTTTCTCATCCATGCCAAAACTGTAATGGCTGTCTTTCTGGAATTATCATTGCCACTATTCTGCTGGTTTTTTTAAGGATTAATATGCTCAGAAGAGGTGACCATTCCTGTGAATTTCATCCAATTCTGCCCCCAACCCAATCCTTCTAAAAAAGATACCAGTACAATGGTTCAATGCAGCTTCAACAACAACAACCAGTAATACTTGTTCAGGTACTGTGCTTGCAGAATATCGCTGCAATGGTGTTCCCTACCTGTGTTTACATGGCTCTTGTTTTGATTTAGGAGAGCAGAATAGTTGTATGCTGAAAATAACCAGTGACCTCCCAATTCTTTTTTATTTTTTAGGGTGGGGAGGAGCTATTACATCTGCCTTCATTCCCTACAGCAAAATCAGCCACATGTAAAACAGCAAGGCAGAGAGGAAAGGTAACCTCTAGCTACCAGAATGTTTCTTACGATATGAAGACGCTGCTTACCTAGGGGCAAGGGTATATGAGTTGCTTCTGAGCGGGCAACATGCCAGGCCAGCATATGGTGATAGAAAAATGCAAGAGGCGATGTGTAAAGTGGAGGTGCCAAGGGCAAGAACATTTAAGCTGATTTATCTGCATGGAAGAAGCAGGGGTGTGCTTTGGGGTATGAGACAGATTGTGCTTTGGGCTAGTTCATCATTATTTACTATCATTTTGTTACCCATTTGCTTGGGCACAGAGAGTTGCAGAGCGGCCTTCCTAGGGTCCAGGCAGCCCAGGAACTCGTGCCTTTGAAAAGAAACATGAAATCTGCTTGCTTAACATATATCTGCCCATCCTTTCCCCAAGGAGCTAGGATAACTGTTTTAGTCCCTCAAGAACCCTGTGAGGTAGGGTAGGATGAAAGACGATGCCTTGGCCAAGGCAGTTTCATAGCTCCACCAGGTTTTGAAGCTGGATTTCTCACATTCAGACCCAACACTCGCATGTCTGCATCACACGGCCTTTTCCACAGCTATGTTATGGCAAGATTAGGAATGACAGAGGAGCAACAGCCAGTACAGAAAATGTTGGTCTGCAGACGTTTTGCTCAAATTCACACAACCTTAATCATCTCAAAATGAGAGCAGGTTGCCCTTCAAGTCTACCTCAATGGTGTCTGGTTGTTGTTTTGTCTGGTTGTTGTTTAGTCGTTTAGTCATGTCCGACTCTTCATGACCCCATGGACCAGAGCACGCCAGGCACTCCTGTCTTCCACTGCCTCCCGCAGTTTGGTCAAACTCATGCTGGTAGCTTCGAGAACACTGTCCAACCATCTTGTCCTCTGTCGTCCCCTTCTCCTTGTGCCCTCCATCTTTCCCAGCATCAGGGTCTTTTCCAGGGAGTCTTCTCTTTTCATGAGGTGGCCAAAGTATTGGAGCCTCAGCTTCAGGATCTGTCCTTCCAGCGAGCACTCAGGGCTGATTTCCTTCAGAATGGATAGGTCGGATCTTCTTGCAGTCCATGGGACTCTCAAGAGTCTCCTCCAGCACCATAATTCAAAAGCATCAATTCTTCGGCGATCAGCCTTCTTTATGGTCCAGCTCTCACTTCTATACTTCCATATGGCATTGCCAAAAAAAAAAAGAGTGTTTCCATTACAAAAACATTAGGACAAAATGGGACACCAAGTTGCATAAAATTAGAATATATGACAATTTATATGTATAGATGCAAATGTAGAATTAAGGACTATAATTCAAGTAGAAATGAAAGAAATTCCACCACAGTGGGGAAGGCATGAGCTATGTGCCTCTTCAGTCTGAGGATCTGGTGCTGCAAAATAATGGTTTAGGGATCGCTTCAAGGCTCCTGCTCTGCCTTCTTATGGTTCCTTACCTTTAATCTAGACTTGGACTGGATGGTTCTCCAACAGAGGGCACCTTCAGAAGAGAAGACTGTCCTCTACGGTGACCGTAAACCACTCCAAAGGATGAATCCATCATCACTTTAAGCTATAATTGATCTTTGCAGCCTTGCAGTCTTTCAAATAGCCATTTGCAAAATAATCAAAACAGCTTTCCAACCAGTAAATTGTAAAAATATTTAATGAGCACCTTGATAAGAGGGAGGGAACTTTGGCTAATAAGTTTCGACCAGGGTTGTCATGGACACAAAAATTCATTATGGACCAATGAAATGACTCTTCAAATCCTGCCTATTTTACAACCCGTTGGTAATATATTTCCCTGAAATTCAAGTACAGAAATAAAATTTGATTTACCGCTGCACTAAAAATATTGAAATTTTATACAAATCATTAACAGTATTTCACATTGGAGATTCATTGTATTAGAAAGCTATAAAGGTGAGACTCACTGAGTAGCTATTCCTTTATCCAGAATACCAAGATGTAATTAAATTTGTATGTAAAGGGGACGTTTGTTAAAAGACCAGTTCTCTATGCTGTGCTGCACTTTGGAACTTGATTCAACTAGCTGTTTTTTGGTTTTTGGTTTTTGTCTATTTCATAATATTTTGTGCTCCGGAATTCCACACAGGAACTGAAGTTAATTCATGATGTTATAATTCTGAGATTTATGGTCATGATGGCTGTGAGAGCTGCAAAAATTCTATATTTCTGCAAGCTTTCTTTGCAGAAAGTCTGTAGCAAGAGAATGCATGTAGATATGGAGGGTCTATATATCTATAATCTATCTATCATCTATCTATCTATCTATCTATCTATCTATCTATCATCTATCATTTATCTATCACTAATCTGAGGAACATTTCATGATGATATATCTATTTGAGTAGTTACATTAACTCAACTCATCACTGCACAGTTTTTACAGAGATAAATTTCTTCTCGCTATAGTCAGTTAGGTGTGAACATGAAAGGAACATTTACAACTTTTGAAGTTGTGATAGCCACTTCATAGAAGATTCTGTGCAAGATGAAAACACGTATTTTCCTTCTGCTTCTCCTGCCAAGAAATTGTAAAGTGTTTACAACAGAGCAGGGGGAAAGTGCAGACTCTGCCCCCACCCAGAGCTAATCATGAGCAGCCCCAACTCTTACAGGTTTGCATTAATGAATCAGGGAACAACAGGGACACAGACAGAGGGACAGAGATGCTGAACTACCACCAAACCTGAAGCAAGGTCCACTAGAAAAGAATATTCACTTTTAAAAATACCTTCCCAAATTTCCATTTTCAAATTTTGATGTAATATTTAACTTCGAAACCTAAGCAATTTAGACTGGCTGGTATCTCTTGACTGTTTTGATTTTGGTGGGCAATAAACAGGTAATCTCAGCAACTGCTAGTTGTCAAACACTATATACCACTGCATGTCATCTTTCAGATCCTGTCAGGTAATGAATACTAATAAATTTACATGCCGACTGTCAATTGCTACTGAAAACTAAATACCATTCTAAGCCAGCTATTGAAAATAATCAGATACTGAATATTGATAGGCTTCGTATTTCACAGAGCACTGATAAGTTCCAACAACAACCTTTAAGGGTTCAATCTGCAATTTTAAACACACTTACCTGCAAGTAACTCCTATTAAACTGAGTTGAGAAGATGTGTATAGAATTGCTTTTTGAATGAGACAGCACTGGAGATTTATGGCAATATTATAAATCTTTGTAATATTTGTTTTATTAGTAAATATTCAATCAGAGCCAAGTGGAAGCAGGCAGATGTGAAACTCCTATTTACAAATACTCAGCAAATAATCAGAGACCATGCAATTAATATTCAGTATAAAAAAACTCGCTGCTCATATATGCCTAAAGATTTATGCGACTTTCTTGTGCTCAAAATAACCTTATGACAAACTGTGACCGTTTGAAAATGAAAACTTTAGACTGTTGCCAAACACCATTTTTAGAGCCAGTATTTTAAAGAAAAATGGAATAATAATAATAATAATAATAATAATAATAATAATATAATAAAAAACTATAGGGTCCCAGGTTGCTTGTCTCTGGCATTGGCTAATAGTGCTGCTTTTTAATTTCATTTTTCATTCATGGGAGCCAAGATACACAGCTCATTTTTCTTTTCTGCACTGGCAATAGTACAGCGACAAGATTAAATACTTCTCAAAATAAATTAATATGCTGTCTGCTTGTTGATCCATTGATTTTTAAGTAAGCCTGGCTGGCTCGGTAAGACTGATGTTTAAGTCAAAATTTTCAGAATTAGTGAAACATCACTCCATTTGGGTAGCAACAGATGCACTGATTAGACAAGAAGCTCTGTTCAATAACTGTCAGAACCATGTGCAACTGTAGTAATCTAGTTATAGACAGGAAAGTAATGGAGCTAAGGGATCGTACTGCTTGAGGTCAGAGAATTACATTGTTAATCCATTTAAGTCATAATTTCCAGAAGGCAGAATTAGCGTCAAATCCCCATCACTCAGCACAGATTCTAAAGTTTCTGAGTCCCCCATATGACTAATCATCACAAGTAAAGTCCATATAGTAAGGAAAAGGGACCCCTGACCATTAGGTCCAGTCGTGACCGACTCTGGGGTTGCGGCGCTCATCTCGCTTTATTGGCCGAGGGAGCCGACGTACAGCTTCTGGGTCATGTGGCCAGCATGACTAAGCCGCTTCTGGCGAACCAGAGCAGCACACGGAAACGCCGTTTACCTTCCCACCGAAGTGGTACCTATTTATCTACTTGCACTTTGACGTGCTTTTGAACTGCTAGGTTGGCAGGAGCTGGGACCGAACAACGGGAGCTCAGCCCGTCGCAGGGATTCGAACTGCCGACCTTCTGATCGGCAAGCCCTAGGCTCTGTGGTTTAACCCACAGCACCACCCGCGTCCCCCCCCAAAAGTCCATATAGCTTGGTATTATTTACACTGGTTAACAGCGGACCTCCAGGATCTCAGACAGAGTTCTCTCCCAGCCGTACCTGGAGATACCAGGGATTGAACCTGGTATGTTCTGCTTGGAAGACAAATGCTCTAACCCTGATCCATGGCCCTTTCCTAATGATAAATGTGGGTGGAATAGTTCTGATATTCTGTAACATTGTTTTCTGTTCTGTAACCACTACACTCACTGCTTAAGGGTTTGTGATTAATGTCCTTATCCAGTTGTGGTGAAGGTGGGAGTCCCAGTGCTACTGCAGAAGGTGGCAAAGCTGAAGTTTAGTGTCCAGATCAAGGGAAGCAATAGTCCCACTCTATTCTTCCTTGGTCAAACCACACCTGGAATACTGTGTCCAACTCTGGGCACCACAATTTAAGAAGGTTGTTGACAAGCTGGCATGGGTGCAGAGGAGGGCAACCAAGATGATCAAGGGTCTGGAAACCAAGCCTTATGAGGAATGGTTGAAGGAGCTGTGTAAGTTTAGCCTGGAAAAGAGGAGGCTGAGGGGAGATATGATAGCCATCTTCAAATATCTCAAGGGCTTTTAGATGGAGGAGGCAGCATGTTTGTTATCTCCTGCCCTGGAGGGTAGGACTCGAACCAATGGCTTTCAGTTACAAGAAAGGAAATTCTGACTAAACATATAGAAAAAACTTTCAGGCAGTAAGAGCTGTTCAAGCACCTTGGGAGGTTGTGGACTTCATTGGAGGTTTCTAAGTAGAGGTTGACTGTCCTGTATGATCTAGCTGAGATTTCTGCATTGCAGGGGGTTGAACTCGATGACCCTTGGGGTCCCTTCAATTCTATGATTTTGTGAAGACCAATTCCACATAATATCACACCCTTCAAACTGGAACAAATTAGCATGAAAAGGGCGGGGGAATCATTTTTTACACCATTTATTCAGACTGTAGAATTTGAGGTGGTCCACCTGCAAGACTAGGAGTGTATTAGCCAAGGTTAGCCTAAGATTTTGCTGCCTGAGGCACAGGACATACTTTGAGCTTCCATCCAGGCACTGACCACACTGCTTAGTTTCAGAAACGCTGCCATATACTTTGCACCTTCAGACCATGCCTCCGTGCCAATGAAGGCTGCTAAATAATGTTGCATTTTCTTGGTACTTCATCAAGGCGTTTGCCTTCTTCACAGCAAGGTGGAGTGTAGGGGAGTTAATTGCACTAAGAAAAATGGAGATTTGTGTTTGTACAATCTATCTAAGCGCCATCTCACCCTTGACATTGCAGACTAATAGGATTTCAATAGTATAATGGCGCCCAACCTCTTTTAAAAGATTGGATCTAAATTATGGGACAAAGGATTCAAGGACATCACTTTTGTCCTTGTGTGTATATATAATGAAACAAGCCTTTCAGGTACAGGACAATTGGTTCTGTCTAGTTGCAGAGATTATCCCAAAACAATAGTTTAGGTTATCATAGAGAGAATTGTGCTGTGTGGCTTATTAAGGGTGAGTAATACAGAAAATGGTTTTCTTTTTCAGCCAGTTGATGGAAAGACTCCGCACCAAGGTCAGATTCCTACACCACGTTTTCATATATGCAGCCACATAATCTTGCGCGGGAATATGTAAAGTATTCTGATGATTTTATTATTAATCACCTTCTATACAATTATCTCAGGCAAATGTACCATAAAAACTGCTAAACACAACCACACACAGCTGAAACATTAAAAACTAAACTTGCCCATGGCAAGGACCCATTTATCCTTCTGGAAAAGCCTGTTGGAAGAAAAATGTCTTCAATTGTTTCCATAAGAAGAGCCTGCTGGATCAGGCCAGTCATCCATTGAGGGAAGCATCCTTTTCTCGCAGTGGCCAACCAGATACCTGTAGGAAACCTACAAGCAGGACCTGAACATAAGCACACTTTCCCCTGCTGCGGCCTCCAGCAACTGATATTCAGAAGCATTGCTGCCTCCTACTGTGGAAGCAGAGTGTAGACATCATGGCTAGTAGCCTTTGAGAGCCCTCTGTCCTCCATGAATTTGACTAATCCTAAAGCCATCCAAGTTGCTGGACATCGCTGCCTTATGTGGGAGCTAGTTCTATAGTTTAACTAGCTCTGTGTGAAGAACAGGGCCGTCTTTACCTGGGGGTGCAAGGTGTTAGGATATTGATGTTCCGTTCCACCTCAACAGATGTGTGGAATTGCTGTATGCCACATGTCTGTTTACACTCCAGCACAGCTTGTGTGTATAGCTTTTGCTTATGCTGCTTGCTCTTGGACATGAAAGGGAGAAGACATGTTTTTTTCCTTTGTCCTGTGTAAATATGCTTTACACAGCCTCTATCTGCCCTTCTGTTGTGTGTTAATTACTCTGCTGATTAGAGCGTGCTCCAGCTTCTGAAGGCTTCTGAAGCTGCGGGTCGCTGTTTCATGCTGAGCCAAGGACTGGAGATCGCCTGGCTACCGGCTGGTGGGCTGGAGCGAGCTGGGGGCTTGCCAAATGCCCCCAATTTCTTGGAAGCATGCTGAATTCTGGGGGGCGCCAAATGTATACCTACTGTATACCAGTCCCTCTTGATCAGTGGCAGTGAAAAGCAATGTTACAGGTGAATGATTTTCCTCCCCAAAAAAAGCTCAACAACTTTGAGTTCAACCCCCCTAAAAATGTTGGGGGCGGCTAAACTAAATTTGCTAAAGACAGCCCTGGTGAAGGAGTACTCTCTTCCAGAAAGTGGAAACAGTGGGTGCCTGTTGCATCTCGACAGGAGTGCTGTTCCGCAGAAAAGGAGCAGCCACGTTGAAAGCCCATCTCTGACTTACAGACTTGGGTAGTCTTTCGTAATATGTCCACTGTGCGAGGCCAAAATTTGGTGCCTCCAAATGGATCTTTTCCATTATGGGTCTTCTCAATTTTGTGCCTCCTCCGCTCGGTACCCTATGCAGCAGAACCGACTTCACTGCCCTAAATCCAGCGCTGCATAGACCTGTATATTTCTCCTCTCTCTGACCTGAATAATGTGCTGGGAAACTGATCCCTGCATAGATCAGGAACTGCCAGGGAAGGAGTGCAACTTCTAGTGTGGAGGGAAACCTTCTTTCCTTCCTATGTCATCCTGTCCTGCAAAAATATCTGATTGTTAGAATAATTTTGAAAGATTTCTAGGCTTGGAAGTCTTTGATGTGAGCCATAGATGATTTGGTTTAGCATACCGAAGGTACTTTGGGTCTTTATGGTGAGAAGCAAAGGCCTCACTCATTCTATGATGTGATCTGTGCATGAGAAATTGGGCCGTGCTGCTATTAAGAAAGGTTAACAGGTTTGATAGTAAAGCTACTGATGGATGAGAACAGTCAAATCTCAGAGGTTCATTTTATGGTGCCACTAAAACTTTAAAATGACCCAGCTCCTCTTTCTGAACCCTCCAATAAATGCAACAAAAAGTTTATATTTCATCATTGTAGAAAGATTTGTTTCTCTCGCCCCCCCCCCCCCAAGGAACAGTCATCATTGTCAATAAATAATTTCTGAAGCTCTGGTTACCTTTAATAATAGTACTATTGTGCTTAGGTCTGCCTGCTAACTGATCTATTTTTACGGTGTTGCTTAGTGATGCAATAGAAAATGCTACCGTGTGAAAGAAGGGCTGCCCTTATGGAGAGCAAAAGTGGCTGATGTATAATGACCGATCCCATTATATCATTAGCTGACTTATTCCAAGCAATTATAGCTTTTCACATTTACAGATGGTGCTAGTTATCAATTGCAATATGTTGCTCATAAATCTGCCCCCTCCACATCTTACATTGATAGATATCCTTCATCCATTTTATCCAGTTCTATTTGTGATTTAGTGGGAAGGGGGAAAGGCACTGCTCACAGACAGGGAGGGGCAGACTATTTCTTATAGCTCCAAGCATCTGCCCTGGAGCAAGTTATCCTGTACCCAAAACCTTTGGAACAGGCACCTGCCCAATTTTTAAAAACAAAGTCCAAGAAAAGATATTCCACAACCACCTTAGCTAGTTTATTGTTCAAATGCTAAACAGCTGCAATAAGGAACTTTACCTAATCCTCAGCCTATATCTCTATGAGGTTTAAAGCCATTGTTCTTGGGCTGATCCTTTGGAGACTGAGAGATCAATTGCCATCCTTCTCTGCTTACTTGCTGACTCTTGAGTTCACCTTCATTATTTGGCTGGCTTGGCCAGTTAGTAGCCACTCTGCCCCTTTAAGCAGTCCTGTTCAGCTTGGTTTCATCCATGCTCAAGGTCAGCCCAACCACATGAGAATCCCAAGTATATATTACAAGACGCACAATTTAACTACTGTGTGACCTGTCAATTGCTATGACCCAGAGAATGCTGGGGGCACAATGCTCATATGACAACCAGCTGCACACTTGACCCAAGAGCTGTGCCACCACTTCATCTGTGACATTGCAAGGATTCCTAGGAAGTAGCCATGAGACCATGGGGTCAGCAACATGCCTTGGGTCTGCCTTATGGGTGCTTATTAAATGATTAATAAATAAAACAGGAAAGCCTACACAGAAGTGTAACCTTTATTACATATATTTGCAATTTTATCTACATTATGATGAATTTTATGACCGCTTGTTTTTTAAAAAACTATTTTATAATGAATATTTTTGTAGTGTTGTTTTAAATGTATTTGTTGTTTCGTATGTTTTTAGTTATCTTATGCGGAAATTGCCTTTAGGAAGGCAATTCATAAATCAAGGCCGACAATAATTATACTGCTTTATGTAAACCACTTTGAGGTTTTTAAAAATATATATATTATTAAATGGCATATAAATCTTGTTAAACAAACAAACAAAACTCTCCCTCCTTTGAGGTTTTTGAGCAGAGGCTGGACGGCCATCTGCAATGATTGCTTTAGCTGAGATTCCTGCATTGCCGCAGGGGTTTGGACCAGTTCAGGTCCCTTCCAACTCTACAATTCTATGGTTCCATGAAAATTATCAGAAGGAGAGTCTTAGGCATCTGAGCCTCATTTACATTCTCACTGCTGGATCAGCCAAGTGCTCTCAGCCTGGACTAAGAAGGCGTAACATGTGACCTTCCATATGTTGCTGAGCTCCAGCCTCTATCAGTAGAGCTGATGCTCCAGAGAT